AAGAAATCAGGAAGGGGGCAAACACTTTTTCACACAACTGTGTGTGTATGTGTGTATATATATATATATATGAGAGAGATAATAGATGTAAAATGTCAATTAGTGTTATTAAGGTCTGTTAGGACTTGAAGTGTTTATTACAATGATTCATCTTCCTTTTTCATTTGCATCATTGGTTTTGAAATGTTCGTGCCTCAAAATCACTGAAAAACAAAAGCTCCCTTTTCCGTGTTTTGTGTTAAGACAATTAAGCACAGTGATACTTGCCTAAGCAAATAATGAACAAAGCCTCAACACCCAAACAAAGACACTTTACTCATTTCTCACAAGTGTGAAAATAGCATTAAAAAAAACAAACACGTCAAACAGATGACTTCCTTTTAGGGGCCAACATCCCTCCATAATCCACACGCAACCTCTCTTTCCCTCTCTCACACACACACACACACACACGCACACGTAGGATTGCACGCCATTGCACTTCCCACCTACACACATACAAGCAGCCTCCCTCATTGTGCTCACATGCACCTCTTTCATTCCACTTCCTGTTTGTGAGGCGCAGTGTGTGCGCGTGTGTGTGTGCGTGTGTAAAGCGCAGGAGTCTGAGCGCAGCAGAGAGCTATAACCAGAACTGTTGCTTCGTCAGCCTGCTCCGCCCGTGCCCAGGATGTGGCTTCGCCTGTTACACCCTGACGTGCGCGGTGAATGAATGGCAGTGGCACTGAGCTGGAGACACTTTGCCTTGGACTATTCAGACAAACACACACACATACAAGACATGGATGCTGGTCGGTGAACTGCAGGTAAGCCAACGGCGGTAGGAGATTTTATTTTGAAGGGCATCGGCTGCTCATGTTTGCATCTAGATATTGCACCGAGTATCTGAGAATATGACGATTTGTGAGAATATGATTTCAAATGATTTAGCTTCATCCGTCCATCTTATATGATGGTGAATTGACACGTTGGGTACTTTTGTCTTTTGAGATCTTTTTTTTCAGTCAACTTTTATTTTATTTAGACTCACGCAAATGTGTTTTCTAATATCCAGAGTTAATTTCTCTGCCACGCGAAAGCCTCGGCCGTCTTGTTTTCTGTCAGAGGAGCTGATGGGCAGCATCAGCCTCATCACTGATGGGAAATGCAGTTCTGTAGTCGTGTTGACACCCCCCCCCCCCCCCCCCCCCCCACCCCCCCTCCACCCCATCTGTGAGCTCACAGGCCCCCCCTATGTGATACCATTTTGGGAACTTCTGCTTTTTCAGATGCCCTAAATGATTAATGTTTTCAATAAACGCTGAGGAAGTAGAGACACAGAAGCACGTGTCAGGCTCCTGGCCATTATCTCGTTTTAAATGTCTGCATCTGCAAATGGCAATAACTATTTGAGCCGGTGTTATCTCTGTGGATGTCAGACATTTTTGTCGTCCCCCCCAACCCTGTTCCTATCGATTTCTGTGGCTGTAGTTGGTCTCACAGAGCAGGTGAAGTGTGTTTGCTTTGCACATTCACATGCAGGTATGGCATCATGTATTTGGATGGGTATAAAAACGGCGCTGGCAACCAGGGATGCAAGCAAAGAATCCTGTTAGTTTCAGATTGACAGCAGTGGTCTTTGAGGACTCCACCCTATTGAAACTCGGCTGAGCCAACGCCTGAACTCAACATCCTATTCCTCTACAAGGACCAACCACTTGAACATGTTCTCTTCAAAGCTGTGTCACGTTCAGGTGTTCTTTTCTTAATCTGAGATTCAGGTCCTTTCAGTATGAGTCAACTTCAGTTAAAATAAGTCAAATAATTATTATTCCAACTGTGTGGCTTTGCAGGATTTTACCAAGTGCAAGTCTCCAGTAATTCTTTTTGTGATTCTGACTCAAGTCCAAGTGTCAAGTTGAATCCAAGTTGAAGGGGGGGGGGTGGTTTGATCGCACAAAGTGACAAGTGGGTAAACTTCACCTCTACAGCCATGAGGTAAGTACTGGTGAATGTTCACTGGACAACTCTTCTCTCTTAGTGGTGTTTCTACTACTCTTAATAAATACCATTACCATCATTTTCAACAGAAAAAGGCAAGCCTTAAATGGTCTGCAGTCCGTGCTGCTGGCCGCCTCCCTGTCGGATGACAACAGAGGAAGGGATCATCTATTCTTCTTAGAAATTGTGAAAATTGCACAACCAGTTTGAATACAATCATCTCCTCCTGTTGAGAAATAACAACTGCCGTGGCAGGTCACATGTCGGGTTTGAAATAGCAATGAAAAGAACACAGATTAACAACTTCGATCGGAAGAACATTGGCCCGCTTTGTCATCGACCATCAGATATCAGATGAGAAGAGAGAAGGATGCCGCAGTGTGTTGTGTTTTTTTTTTAAATTTCACATCTAGCTGAGGTCGATCGCAGTCTCCCAGTGCAACACTGTGTGTTATTCACGTCTCTTCCTGTTTGTCTCTTTACGGCTGTGGTATCAGTAAAATCTTTACTTTCTCATTTACTCATACTTTGAGGTCAACACCCCCGTGCGTGTGGGTGAGCGTATTCATCTCCGCATGTGCACAACACACCTGTTGTTGCAAAGACTTTTTTGGTGTTTTTTTTTTTTTTTTAACCCATATCACATTTAAACAAATAAACAGGATTTACTTTTCCACTGGAAATCCTGGATACTTGCATTCTCCTCACTTGTTGAATGATCATGAAACCAGCGTGAAATAGACCGGGACAAGGACTCACTCAGTCCTGTTGGTGGAGCAGAGTCGCCCATGTTGTTTGGAGTTAAGTGTCGTTACCTGATATTACAGCGCCGGATATTTGCATTAATGGTTGTTTCATCATGTGTTTATCAGGATTTATTGAGGAAGCAAAGACCAGAGGGCGTACGGAGCGGCTTTCGGTTCTGTAAGTCACAGAGCATTCTCTGTTGATCGCCTTTGTTGCCAAGTGGTCAAATCCAGGGTTCAATTCGGGGTCTTTGTTGCATGTCATACCCCTCGTTCACTCTTTGTTTCTCCCATTTCTTTGCTGTCCTCAAAGAAAGGTGAAATGGCCCCCCCCCCCAAAAAAAAAACCAGACAAACAACCTCTTGGTGCTGTAGTTAGATGTACTCAATTCTTCTTACTTGAGTCACATCTATAAAGTTGTTGCAGAAGTTCTAATTGAGTGAGTATAACAAGAAGGAAAGGATTATACTGTAAATACAGCAATATTGCAGTAAAATACAGGAATAATCATCTCAGAGTCACAGCAAATATAAGATTTATTTTCTAAAACTGCCAGCAGACAAAAAAAAAGGCTTAAAAAGTGGAACTTGAAAGTTTATCCATGACCTTGGGAACAGCGGTTGACAGAACAATCTCACCTCAAGGCCAGCATGAAGAAGAAGTCTTTGAAAGCGTTTCCAAATGAAATTGGAAGTGTCAACATGCACAATTCCACGACAGCTGGGCAAAGTGTCGGCCGATGAGGTTCGTGTGACGTGATCGGCGGACACAAAAGGTTCCGGCTGCCCTCCGTGATGTGTGGAGTGCTGCACACTGGTCCACTCGGCCTGGTGAGTTCCCACCGGCGGCGGCCGTTTAAGCTGAAGGGAAGCACTTAGTTACAGGAGAGCTTTGGAGTCGGGCCGCCGTTGTTTCCAAAAGCCATCAGAGGTCAGTTCACATGCAGTAGGTCAGCGGAGAGAAAAGGGGGGGGCTGGACGTGAATATCAGACTCTATTAATCGTAAAGAAAATGACAGGCACGCATACTGTACACACACACACACACACACACACACTCACAAGCTCTCCTCCCTGGTCTGTGGGAGTGTATCTGAGAGTCCGATCACACCACAACAATAGGGAGGCACCTGCTTCCTCAGCTGAGCAGGGAAGCCGTCTTCCTGTGAGGAAGCAGTTGGTAATGGGATCAGTGGGAGAGATGGGAAGTGGCCCGCGAGGAGATGGAAGGAGAAATAAAGACGCAGGTGGAGTTGCAGTGCTGGGACCGCATAGGTTTATCTGTGAGATGATACTCGTAAGAGAGGGAGGCTGATGAAGAGGAGGACAGAAAGACTTGTCCTGTGCTGTATCTCAGCAGGTATTGGTTGATCCAGTGTAAATGTAGTTGTTCTTCCGCTACACAAGCGCTGCTTGATATTGTCTGACATGTTGCAAGTTGCAACCCGTGAAAAAGTGGAAGTGACCTTGTTGACTCTTAGGGATGTGCTGCATACATCCTCTTATGAAACACCGCAGACTCATGCATTTGCAACATGACTAAAAACCCTGCGTAATCAACTATGAGGACACTCTGGAGTTGGGATTGACATATTCAGTCAAAAATCCCAATCAGTGTACATTGTAAGCCCAGGTCGGGGGATAGTCATGAACTGTATCGCTATTGGTTTTGTTGCACATGGACACCAATCGCCAGGTTTTCTTACGCGTCTCTCAGGACGAAAACAATGCCAATGGAAAGTCAATTAGGATCCTTTTTCTGGGGCGCACACACGAATTTAACGCATCCACGTGGTAACGCAACGGTCAGAGCTAGTGAAGTAGTATTTAGTATTGAGTGGTGGGCGGGAGGGAAGATCGATGGGTCCAACAAACGCAAGACTTTCAACCATGAGACCCAAAGTATGTCCCAAAGTAATGTGGTTTTGTTGCCTAAACTTAACTGTACATCGTTATTTTAAGCACAACCATGATATTTTTCCCAAACCTAACTAAGTGGTTTTGTATTGTTGCAAAAACAAAACTGTTAAATGAATCAATAGATGACTTTAAATGATCTTCACATCACTAAAGACTCTGTCTATAAATTCTTTGTGGCATATAAAAAAACCATTCCAGTACCATTCTACTAAGGCTACTGTAAAATGACACCAACACTAAAACTTGATGTCGTCAGCTGAACTACTACCAGTTGATAAACTTCCAAACAACACTTTCACTGCATCGTGCCACCTCATATAGGATCTTCACCTCTTTTATCGCCTCTACGCATCTCCATTGAAGCCCATCCTGGATGCAGGAGTCATCACGACTCTGACTTATTAGTTCCTTCCACTCTGAGCTGGGCTCTCATCCAGCTCTGTCCGACCCTGACAATGACCGGAGCCCTTAGCGCAAGTGTCCAAGCGCGCTCGGCTATATACCTCAGACACAATGCCTCTCTAGGGGGGGGGGGGGCTGCTGAGAAAAAGGGCTAAGTGTTTACCTCTGGGTCTGTCGGGATTGTTGTTGAATGGTAACCGTAGGAAAAGTGGGGGATAATTATGCTTCATTTCTCTGAACTCCTGCCCTGCCCCTCCGCCGCCATTAATGATGAGGTTGGATGTTTGTGCAGTGTATATGTGTGTTGGTACTGTATAATGTGTGTACGAGCACGCGCGTGTGAATATATGAACAATGGGTTGGGTAACACTTCAATAGGTCCCCTGCAAAATCATTTTAAGGCGAGAGACCCCAGGCAAAAACATTGTTTTTCAAGCACTGGTCCACTTTGGTCTACTTTCAGACTAGCAGAAAGAAGACATCCAAAATACACATTTAGGTGTTTATTTTACTAAACGTTGTCTATTTGCATCGGTAGATTTCCCCTAAATTCACCAATAACTTTGCATTAGATAATGGCTCATTTGGATATTTAAACATAACATTTCAGAAAACTTGTAATACAAAAAGAAAATTGTCTTAATCTAAGTAATCGACTGGGGAAGTTTTTTATGGTGGCATTTATTCGTTATTTCTTTACCCTTTTCACCTGTATTGTCATTTTAAATGAGCTTTTTCTCACTGAGCCAGAAATCTCTACTTCAGCAGCACTTACATACACCAAACTTTCAACTTTCATCCCAATCTATATTCTAAAGGTTTTTTATAGAGGAGGTTGTTCATATATCATTCACAGCCTGATTTATGAATTTTTTTTTTATGAGTAAAAACACATGACTCTAATATGTCAACTAAATGAAACAACAATGTTGTACCTGGCTTTATTCAATGTTTTGATTTCTGTTCTGGAAATGTATGCAAATTAGCACATATTTGATCAAATATTGCCTCAGTTAAACAAAAATACTAAATACAAAATAATAATTGCATTAATGTTAGTAATCAACTGGGTCAGTTTCATGGTGATATATATTAGTTCAAGTTATTTTACTCTGTTTGTTTTTTAATAAAAATGAGAATAATTATGTAAAAATTATCATTCACGCGTAATATATCGCAATTTCTGGTCTTTCTTGCAGTTTAACAGGTTGTTTGGCCTGTGACACTTTATATTGTTCTGTACATGGAACACAATCAAAAAAGTGTTATTTGGTGAGTGGGTGCGTAAGAGCAAGTGAGTCATTTGTTAACAGAATTCATCTGACAGCCTTCATTTATTTCTGGCTTTCATGTGAAAGGGGGAATTTGTCTCTTGTGTCTTGGGAAAGTTTTAGAAGATGTAATCAGGCAAAAATAGTTTTTGAAGTCATTGCTCATTTCTGTCCGTGTGCTGAATTACACTCTGAAAGGACTGATGTGAGCACATCTGACTCTGATCAATAAGATCAAAATAATTACGGTTTTCAGAATCTGGCTTTTTTTGTATATTTTAGAAACAAAAACTGCTAAGCTGGTCAAATTCTAAAAAGACTAATCTTTAAAAAAAAGCTTCTTTCGGGAAGTAAAGTTGTTCTGCTTCTCAAATTTAGTTTCCCAGTATTTTGCACACAACATACAGATACTGTATTTCCATGGCAAAAGTCTAAAATGAGGTAAGGCTTTAAAAATATATCAAGGAGGAACATAACGCACGACCATACAAAATCGAACAGACTAGATTTTATCAATCAAAACTAAATTTCACAGATACGTGCAGTGTCTGATTTTTCTGTACATTCATAGAAATAATATATGATATTGTTTTGTCAATACATCTCATTCACTGAGTCAATCCCCTACTTCCATCCAGAGAAGCTGCTGGTCAGTGAGCCACGTCATCCGAGCTTGTGTTAAATGAACTGTGTGAGAAAATTAAATTCTTGCCAAAAAGCAATAGAAATGCTGTATGTTTACAAAGAATATGTGAGGATAATTCATAACTCTAAACAACCCAAAAAACTCATGTTCAGAATGTTAATAATTCAAGTGAGAAGTCGGGTCATTTTGTCATAGACTTCTATACATCAGAGGAGTTGCCCCCTGATGGCCAGTACAAAGAATGCAAGTTTAAGGCAATTCCACATTGGCTTTACTTCTCAGACCCGGAGGTTGCCGCCTGGAAGGGGTTCTTCCTAATAAATGGAGAGGGGCAGCAACATAGACCCCCTTTACACTGATCAACCACTGTACGACTGCAATCCGTTCATCCAAAAATACATTTTAAAGGGGGTCATACTGTACACGCACATTGTGTTGACCGCCACCTGCTTCTGTACAGAGGTTACTTTTTGGGTCAGATCATATCGGCTGCCTGCTTGTTCCCCCACAAAAAAACCTGTGCAGTTTTCAGGGGAATTCCAAAACCTCGCAATGATGTAGTTACCAGCGGAGAAGTGGTCACTGTGCAGTTTTGAGCATACGTTTACATTGAAACATTTTCCCTGGTTGATGAAACAGTCTGAGTCGACTTGGTTGTGTTCGGTCACAGACTCACTTCACTCAACATTTGTCATTACACAGCTGCCGACATGAACATTGTTTATCGTTGTAAATCAGTCACTCTCCCGATGGGACGTCCCCGCTATCTTGTTATGCATATTGCCTCTGATGAGATGTGTTCATAACAGAACTGAAACAACTTGCCACACCTGGGTTGTCCTCAGATGCTGCATGAGAAACAGCCAAATGCTAAATTGAAAGCTATAAAAGTGAAGTTCAGCACGACCGGGTGGGTCAGTGCTGAAGACATGATGCACTTACACTGTTGCGGTCATTCTGGAATTATACATTTGAATGTTTTTCACTGATTTTGTTTTACTGATTTAAAAACTGAAATCAGTGGGGGCTGTTTTTTCTCTTTTACCCCTCCATAAAAGTCATACGGTTAGTCATGTTGGTTTCGGTGTGCCTGAATGTTGCTGTTAGGAATAGTTGTCTGTTTTGTTTTTTTACACTTATTACTCAACATCTACCCGACCAGAGTTTCAATAAGTATCCCGTTTATAAAACTGCCAATCCCTTTGTGTGTGCTTTTGTGGCTGTTTGTTGTTGTATGATATCATATTTAAATATCGTATTTAAATATGTCCAATCGTATGTGATTGGACATTTCAGGTACTATGGCAACAGAATAGCAACACATGCGACGCTATCTGTATTTCCTTCCCCTTAGAAATGTCCCATTTCTGGCAATGTTAATTCTGTTATATATCACATTTCCTTACATGTAAGTGCTTTACATTTAAAGACAAAGTATAAAAATATAGGCATAGAAATAAGAAAATAGGTAGCATAAACAACACAAATATAAGTATACGGTAGCATATACAAGTATACATCAAACCACACAGCTATAAAAAAAAAAGAAGAAACAAACCTGTGCACTATCACATAGCTGTACATGTTACCAACTGCAAGAAGCAAGTGCGACCAAATGAGTTCACACACACGGTGTGTTATGCATCGTGTCTTCTTAGACTATTTTACATACTTACCGGTTTATCTGCCTTCATGCAAAAATAAAGTGACAAGGCATATTCATGAATAGAGAGGAACATGTGGACATTATGCACACATTCAATCGCATTTGGAGATAATATTCCACAGAATGCATGAATGGGAATGTATTATATTCTGATACTTAATATCGGCTCTGTCTCCCGTCCCTCCGCAGAAAACCTGAGCGGTGAAGATGCAGCACACCTCATGCACGGAGGACAGGATCCAGCATGCTCTGGACAGGTGTCTGGACGGCCTGAGACAAAGCCCCACAGCAGCACAGCATTGGAACGGTAAGACACAAGAGGCTACAATAGTGATGAGGACGACAGCTAAGCTTTGGTTTAAGATGAAGCATGTAACGAGAATGTTTCTGCACTGCTTCAATAAAGATGAGTGCATTGATGTGGGAATTATGACGTATATTTTCAGTGAAAACTTTACAGCTTAGAAATGAGAACGTCACACAGAAGCAGAAACAAGCCACTTAACAGAACTGAGCTTTTGGTAATGTTATTAGTTCCACCTGTGCATGTCAAAATTAGTTGGTGGTTCAAACCTGTGCACATGGGCCTCCGCCACGTTCATGTCGAATTAAATATAAGTTTTCATGTTTTGTGGATGATGCTAATTTGTGCAACTTTTCCTGCATATTTTCCTCATCTTCAGGCTGGTTTTGTGGATTTCAGCAAGTCATGGTTAAACGTGTGATCCTCGTTACCTGAAGAGGTTGGAATGAGCCATACGTTTCCAAAACGTTACGTTTCTACGTAGAAACCTGTGGTGCATTAGCAGAGTACGTTAGCACATCATTAACTAGCGTTAGCGTTTCTATGCTACGCTAGCTACTAAACGTTTACCGAATGCACATGCTGCTTTAGCTTTTCAATGATTGTAACAGTGAATAAAGAGGAACAGTGTTGTTCCTTAATTCCATTGTCTTCTGTCTCGATCACCAGGTGATGTTGTGGTTTACTTCTACACTGTGATCTGTAGGCTTTAGCTTCTGTCTTTATCTTTTAAACAGTTTTCTCTGAATCAGTTTGACATCCTGAATATATACTTCAATCATGTATCGTTAACCTCTCGTCTAATTTTCTCTGAAATGACTTTTTTTAAATTTTTTTCAAAAATCAGATAACATTTATTAAGTGAGTGCAGTTAGTGACAGTGTGGGCTTCATGGTAGCAATGTGGGGCGGTGCTTAGCGAAGGGTCAGTCGAGCAGTCTTGCTCGGCGGCTCGTAGATCTGCCGTTGAGTCAAACCTGTGACCCTCTGTTTCTCGGAAGGTACAAGCGACAAATGTTCTCAGAAATATCGAGTACACACTAACACATTTAAATGTGATATGTGCTGCTTATAGTGCTGCCTCGAACAGAGGGCAGTTGTTTGTTCTCGCTTTGTCAACACAAGAGCAGCGTGCGGCATACGAGTATACGTGTGTCCTAGCTTGTTGTTGGTGACACTGCTTGTTGTTGGTGACACCGCTTGTTGTTGGTGACACTTTTGGGTGCTGGCGGAAGCTGTGTGAATAGACAGCTGGAAGGAAGTGGTGGCCCAGACCGCAGTGTGTGAGTGAGGCATCATGGGGCAGGAGTTACTGTGGTGCACTGTGTGAAGACAGAGCACAAGATTAAATCAGCATCAGCCTCCCGCATGTCAACCAGTGCCGGATAGAGTGTCGCATAATTACACAAACATGTTCTAGGGTTTTATATCCCGATAGACTGTGATGATGTGATTTTTACATTTAAAACATGCTAGCTGAAGCTGGAGTCTGCTTTTCATGTTTTATTCTCCTCCTCACTTCATAACTCCATCTCCTGTTTAGACGATTTCCAGGGATTTGTATGTTGACTACGAGTGTGATTACATTCATATGAAGTCAAGTACTGAGATATTCAAATGTACATCTCAAGAGGATCATTTGAAACTTGCAGCTTCATTTCCAGTACTGGCATCTTTTCAAAACAAACCTGTGGAGCTCTCCAGCAAATGTGCAAAACACACCGTTGTGAGATGTTGGATAGGGCTCCCGTGTGCGGAGTAATACTGCAACTGACACGTTTCTTGGAAAACATTTCTGCGGAAACCTGAACAAGTGCTGATGTGTTACTTCCTGAGCTCCTCAGAGATGCAGTCGGAGCCGTTGAGACAGAGGGATCAAATGGAAAGTAAGGTGCTTGCGAAGAGTCATCAATCACCCTCAGTGTTTTTTTTATGAGCCAGACATCAGATTGGTGTGGTTTGAGATGCTGTATGCCCAGCTCTCTGCCGTTGTTTCATCTCAAGTTTCCATTTCACATTTTTATAGAAAACGTCCAACTGAAAGTTTCCAGTGGGCCATTAATGATGTGTGGGTCTAGTTATCCCCAATTCTTTTTTGTAGATTTCACTTTAAATCCTCTACATTTTAATTTTGATTATTATTATCATATTTAAATGTTTAGTCCCAAAACAAGTCTTTTGGGGAAGATACCTTAACTCTGTTTTCTTGCAGCAGGAAATCTGTCATGTCAAAACATCCAAACTGAAACACCGAAAAAACACCCCTGAAGTGCACCAGCGCACTGACAGTATGGACTTTAAAGTTCTGCTGTGAGGACTTCAGTACAGTCTCAGAACCAAACACAAGATTTCTAACCTTTACTTTATAATGCTGTGCTGTGCATATGAAGACATTAGATGCAATTTCATTCTTAAACGCTATTCGAATGACGTTCATACCCGATTAAATAAAAGCTAAATAAACTTGCCGTTTTGTCCGACCTCCGTTTCTCAGCATGCATTTGTTTTGTTGTTTTGGGATCACTAGTGTGTCTGCTGGCTCTGTTGGAGCACAAACTGTTTGTTTTTTAATTTATTGCCCTGGCTGTTTATTGAATATCCTTAGTGATGAACTCTGTTTCCTACAGGTGTGCTGCAACCCTGACAACATACAGTCTGTTGAAGTGCTTAATATATGCGTGTGCACAACTGATAATTAATTCTACAGCCATTATTTTCTTCAACCCACTGATCATCTATCATTACAAGACCGTGCAGTGTGGCGCAGCATTGCTCAGATCCACAGAGCTTTATTACCGCCGCAAAGGAGGTAATAAACTGCTACTGCACGATTTTCAGGAAACTTGGTGGAAGGGTGTGGCATAGGCCAAGGAAGAACCGGTTGAATTTTGGAGCGGAGGTCTGCTCTCTCCGAGTGCCTTTTTTAGTCGTGAAAGTTGTTATGGGTAAACTCAGAGCTTGAGAGGTTACAGTAGAATAGGCGACTGTCGTTTTGGAGCAAAACTGTTGTGGTGAGGTAAAACATGTGACTTCCGTCTTCTGACTCTTCTGACTCTTTCTATGTTTAACATAACATGTGGGCATTTTTGCAATAACACGAGTCCACATGTGCTGCTTTTCTTTCAGTGCTGATGTGCTCGGCGGGTCAGTCAATGAACCGCTGGAGCCTGGAGGAGCTGGTGAAGAGGGACCCTGAGAACTTCCTCATCCTCTTACAACAGATCATCAGGAAGACCAAAGAGGTGAGAGGTCAAAGGTCAAGGAGAACATAATTGTCAACTGGTGATATGTCCTCACTGCTGCAAGACAGTGCTGTCATTTCTAAATGTTCGGCCTAATCAATGCTCTCTTTCTGTCTGCCTCGATGTTCGTTCAGGTTCAGGAGCAGTGTCGGTATGAGCTGGTGGCTCCCCTCGCTATCATGTTCTCCTCCACGTTGCTTCAGGTACATCCAGATATTATCAAAAACTTCCCCTCACCTCTCAGCACCAATCAGAGTGTCACACATGTGGAAGTGCCCTCTCAAAAGTTTTGTTGGTTCCTCAATGCAAAACCACCATGACATCATTGGATATCTAATTCATTGATATATTACTGGTTAGACAGGAGAGAGAAGAAACAGCCACTGTTTGATTGCTTCAATAGGTTGACATGATTCTATAAATGTATTCTTACACTAATTACTTTCACTGAAATGTAATATACTTCTTGTGAGTATGATTTTTTCAGTAGGAACCGGGAACCCCAGAGTTCAGTTTGAGCTCTGTTGCAACTGATAATGTTACAACTTTGAGGTTTTGTGATGATGTCACAAATGTGCTTTTAGTTGTTTACTGTCATAAAGCCTGTAATATAGTACATAGTACAAATACAGTGGCTAATGCAATCACATTATTACACTAAACTGGGTTACCTCATGTAACATGTGACATGTTTGTCGTTGATGATGTAATATTAAAATCAAGCAGGAATGTAGTAATGGCAAAGAACAAGAAAAGTGTCATATAAGCCAATATAGTTATTACTATCGTCTGTTTAAGTTGTGTTGCACCCTTTAAAAATGCATAAAAGCCAATTAAAGGGAGACACTTCAGGTGAATAGGGTAAAAAATAAAATTAGGCATTATCATGATTTCAGGAGACTGGAGTCTACAGATGCAAATAGACAAAGTAGTAGTAAAGGAACACCGAATGTGTGTTTTGAATGTTTTCTCTCCACCAGTCTGAAAGAAGACATATTATGGAGGCGAAATTGCCGAGGGAGAGAAAACGATTTCTGCACAAAGTGTCTCCCGTAAATGTACTAAATTGGTATAATACATCACATTAACAGGTTTTTATTATGAATCTGATCCATCATTTAATTTAAAACCTCCTCTCTTCAGTAGACGGAGTGGTTGGTCCACTCTAATGCAGGAATCCATAAAGTTATTGTCAAAGGTGAGGATGCCCACTGAAATATCTGATCTGTGCCTCGGTTGCAGACCCCATACTGTCCTCCGGACACAGAGCTGCTGGAAGAAGCCATTGAGGTGTTTCGCTGCTTCCTCACATGGCCCGAGCCTTACTGCAGTGTGTGTAGAACCCTCCTCACCACACTACAGCTGGAGATCAAGGCCCCAGGTAAATATAGATGGGTTCGTTTTGCCACTGTGTGTGTGTGTGTGTGCGTGTGTGTGTGTTTCTAAGCTGTCTTAACTGAGTCTCTGGATCCCTACTGTTGTCTTTCAACCCTGGTGATCACTCTCCCCCTAGTGACAAGTCAAGGAAATGCATTTAGGGTGGAACTGGTGTAAAAGGGCACTGCTTATGCCAGAAACACTGGTAGCAACAGCATCAATGACAAAATAAAGCACGTTCAGGACCGAAGGGCCAAAAGCACAGTATTCAGTCCTTTGTTGATTTTGGTTTAATATTTGTGCTTATCTTAACTTTTGTAACTGCAGTGTTAAGCAATGCATCACACATGAAGCCATCATGGATATGTGACGGCCCCGGGATGTTTCTACATATTTCCATTGACATTTAAGCCACTTCTTGAAAGACATTAGTAGATAATACTACTAGCATATTGTACTCGAGTAAAGGTACTGTTATTTTAACAGATTTCTTAAGTAAAAGTGAAATAAGGCTACGAATGTAAAAATGAATCCTATTCTTCGATAAAAGTAAAAAGTAGGTCACCTAAAATGTACTCAAGAGTTAGTGTTAGGCCTAATAGGTGAGCACTGCTGAACATAATGATCTGCTGTAAGGTAAAACTAATTCAGCGCGTAGGCACCGTATTTCATGATGATGCTGTAACGTCATGAATAACACTGTTCTTGTCAAGTTTTTAATTCAGAAACCATGAGCAGATGGAAGAGAAAAATAATAACTTTATTTTTCTATTTTCCTCACAGGGATTTCCTTTCAGAGACTTGTGAGAGAAGAACAGTTCCTTAACACCCCCAGCCAGAGCTCCAAGACCATGTAAGTTCACACAATAAAAACAAACTGTGCTCTCTATAGACTGTAGAACTATAGAATATGCTACATGTGCTCTATGTATTCATTATTTAGGATTTATAGCAGAATGAGTAGCTCTTCAGTTTCTCATGCTCAACAGTTGTTGGTGATATTCGGACTGTAAGAGTGCACATGTAAAACTTTCTCTTCGATCAGCGGCCATTTCTTGGGGATCTATTTTCAGTCCAGTGCAGACTGTGTGTTATCTTTGCACCTTCTGCTTTCTTGTTAAAATGCACCATCTGATCTGACACCATAACTTTTGAAGTAAAAAAAAAAAAAAAAAGGTTGTCCACAAAAATAATAACTGAACTTAGGTGATTCGCACTTCCTGACCTGAAAAGTCCCCTTTCATCCCCCTCTCCACCCACCCAACACCACCGCCATAGCAACCTGTTGCATCGTCGTGTGAATTTGCATACATGTTCAAACCAGTGACGTTATCTGTGTGCTGCCTGCAGGACCGTGCTCCTGATGAACCCGTGCGAGGTGCCCGCTGACTTTCTCTCGGTGGCTGAGCAGCTCAGTCGCATTCAGCACTCGCAGGAAGAGACCTACATCAGACTGATCAAACACGCCTTCCAGTCCACACTAGGCACCAAATACCCGCTACAAAGCATCCACAGAGCCCTGCAGGTAATGTGCTCACAGCTCTGGACCATGAACTAGAGTCTATGGTTCTTAAACACAATTAAACGATATTTTGAGTATAACTTTTGTTTAAAATGTCCTTTGTGTTAAGGGGGTAGAATTAGAGAATCAAGTGTCATTTATAGAGATATGAGTAAAAACTACATTTACCTTTAAACCCTGTTTATATGCATTTAATAAGAACACCAGTAGTTTATGCAATACCAAGGAAATGTTTCGCATTACGTCTACTGTAACCAATACAAGCCATCACTGTGTAAAGAATTAGCCGGGATACAATGCAAGAATGTCTCAAGACATGTACCTTTACTATACCATCTCGTGAATACACTTTGCAGGCAAACACTGTGGATGAATTGGAGTCAATCTTCTCCACGGTGAGTGATGTCTTAGAGACGGCCGCTGCCATGAGTGACCCCCTGAAGGGCCGCGGTCACGTGACCCAGGGACTCGAGCAGCTGAGGGAGACCATGAGAATACCAGCATCCAACGGAAGGAAGTCTGATGGTAAGCGGGTAGATTTCATGAACTGGGGGATATAAACACTCTTTGTCACATTATAATATTTCAGTCTCCAGTGGTTATTGCTCTGAGAGTTATTTTTATGTCGTCTCTTTCAGGAATGCTACAAACTCTACCCTTGCCGACAGCCAAGTGTTACATGTTCCACTGGGAAACGGATAACTTTGGTAAAGTATTCATGATACTTTATTGATTCATACACAGGAATATCTTTCTGCTTTGAGCGGCACCAGGAAATCCAGTCCCTGTTTTTAACCATATTCCTATTTATTTGAGTATTTTTTTTATCTTTCTAATTGCTGAATGGGATTGATATTTGTCTTCTTTGATCCCTGCAGATGTTCTCAACACCCTTTTGGAACACGAGGCTGATGACCAGGTCATGAATGGGCAAGCTGAGGAGGAAGAGGAGGACGACATTGATGATGATGATGATGATGATGATGATGATGACGATGATGATGATGATGAGGAGGATGAGACAGAGATTGATATCGAAGAAGACGAGGAGGGCGAAAACAGAGACGAGGAGGAACATGGATTGGAATTGCCTTCCATGTCCATCATCCCTAACGGCTGCGTCGTCAACCACCGTGCCTCCACCTTCTCCACCATCTCCTCCCTGTCCACCGCTTCCAAAGACTCCATGTTCTCCACCTTGTCCATGGCCTCGGAGTCCTACGCTCCGTCCCTCTACTCTGTCACTTCGGGCGGTGACAGTGACTACTTTGACGACTCCGACGACTACATCTGCTCCTCCCCCGTCGCTGAAAAATGCTCGCCAAAGTCCATCAACAAAACTTCGTCCCGGTTCAGCCAGCACTTGTACCGACTCTTCATCAAACCCAAGAGACCTCGGTCGCTATCTCGGGCCAAAAGCTTAGGAAACACAGAGTCGAGGGACCGTTTAGTGGTGCGAGAGAAGCGCTCCAACTCTCTTCCACAGCAAGTCCAGTTACGCTGTCCTGAGCCCTTCCTCCAGCCACAAAGTCAAACTCTCAGACACGTCTGCTTCCGAAGGAGGCCCATTCTCAGCAGCGATGAGGACAGTAAGAACACTACGCTGAGGGTGGTGGTGTTTGGTGCTGATCGTGTGGCAGGGAAGGTGGCCCGAGCCTACAACAGCCTGAGGAGGAAGGAGAGTGCGTGTCCACGTCTCAGCAGGGCTTTCAAGCTCCAGTTCTACTTTGTGCCCGTGAAGAGGGACTCGGCGGCAGGAACGGGGAGTCTGAAGTCTCCTAGTCCTGTGGTTCAAACTGGATCTCCAAAAGGAGCCGCCCTGTCTAATGTGAGTAAACCAAACGTCATACATTGAACACAAGGTTTTGTTCATGACACCATATCTAATTCCTTTTATGTGTAACATACTTGGCAATAAACGGTTCTGATTCTGATTCTGATTTACTAAGCTGTCAAAGACCTGAGTTGTACTGTACAGAGTGAAGAAAGACTTCCGCTGTTGTAATTGTTGCTTTTGCTAAAGCAGGATCTTCTCCTCAAGGGCGCAGGGGACAGCACCAACGACATTGCCCATCTCCTTGGTATGTTGGACCCTTGGTACGAAAGAAACACCCTTAGCCTGCTTAACTTGCCCGCCAACGTCGTCTGCCAGGTACAACTGGAGTCCAACTTTCACACTGCCTAAACAAAACTCAACCTCTCACGTTCATCCAGCTAAGAACATCTCCATTGTAGTTTTATTATTACTCAATCAATATGTATTCCAGAGAACTTATAAAGCCTGGAGCATAAACACCTCTCAAGACGACATAAGTAACTCTGCTGCATTATCGTGTGAAGTATTAATGAATTCTTTTGCATTGCTCTGCAGCAAACCTCAAAGACGGAGTCGGAGTTGTATGCTGGTTCCTATGAGCAGCGTCTGCCCATCCTGGCCGACTTGGTCCTGTACTACTGCCGCTATGCTGCCCGGCCTGCTCTGATCCAGCTCTATCAGGCTGAGGTCAGTTACACTCTTACACACAAACATCACACACAGCCATAATAAACTACATGCATCCCTGCCAGGGGCCTACATTAGAAACATGTAAGCCCCGGTATCCAGACTTACTGTGAACAAATGTAACAATGTCCCAAGTTCAGTGATTGATTGAGGAATCCTTGGTGTTGCAGCTGACGTTAGCGTGTGGTGAGAGGAGGACGGAAGTGTTCGTCCACTCCCTGGAGTTGGGTCACACTGCAGGAACGCGAGCCATAAAGGCCATGGGTGAGTGGTACACACAGGCCACACACACGCACATATCCGAGCAACCGTGCCAGCAATGCACTTTAATGCGTCATCGGTTTTTACAAGGTTAAAGCTGAACTACATTTACAATAGCGGAACATCAGTTATTTCTACATCATGATTCAGTCTACTTCTATTTTTTTCTAGTTTCATTTGTCGCTTACAAATTAGCTTTTTAATTTCCTTTGGAGAAGTACAATTTCAGGGAAAGCTCTTTATGCCTCATGCCCCCTGATTAGTTGCACCTTCTGCTTTCTTGTCATTTCATTGTCATCTACATTACATTCTGTCACAATGCAGCAATTCCAGTGTTCATCTTGCTCCACTTGTTCATAAGTCTGAATGTTCTGTACTGTAGCAATATTTCTTTCCAAACAGCATAACTGAAACACTGCTCTCATGGATCACTAATGTGTGTGCGTATATAGGTGCTGCCAGTAAACGCTTTGGTATCGACGGTGACCGAGAAGCAGTGCCTCTAATGTTGGAGGTGGTGTACAACAGGGTAAGCTGGTGATTTGGTTCCCTATCCAAATGAAAGTCTTGAAATGGCACTTTACAGGAAGAATATTCATAAATTACGAGCAGAAAATGTGAGCAGAAACACGTCCCGTGATCTACTTTTGGAGCACGTTTACCCTAATTCAACTGGTTTCGGTTGTGGTCACTTCTCCACCCACAGGAATTGCGCATCGAAATCGTGTGGCAAAATAGTCTGGTAGACAGTCACGAGCATGTGCCCCGTCCTCTGTGGTCTCTGTGGTGTGAAGCATTAGAGACAAGGCGTCCCTGTTCACTGCGGTCACTCATCATCTGTCCTTTATCTTTCAGGAGATACATTATTTCCCTCAGTTTGAAATATTGTTCCCAAATTCAAAAGGCAGCACGTGTCTCTCATTTCCCAGTATTTCTTTGCGCTTTTTTTCCAAAAAAACTGCAATAATCGTATCCCTTCTCCTCCCATTCAGGTGGTGATTAGCGGGAGAAGCCAGTGGAAGAGAGAGACCAAAGTCTGTACGTCGGTAAACTTAACCAAAGCATGCAAGAATCCTGAGGCACTAGGTACGCTACTGCCACTAAAGCTACGTGCTGAACTGTGCTTGATAGAGTGCTGCAGGATTGGGTCCTAAAACCTAGAAATGAGTCAGTGTTTTTGCACTTCCGGTTTCCTCGGCTCAAGGCCAATGGCTTTTTTGTAATTAGATGCCTGGCTTTTTTGGTTTAGATGCCTGAAATAAGGCCTGTGGTTTTTTTGAGGGAACCAGTGCTGTGTCATCTCTGCAGCACTCTATTCAGACCGTAAATTAGCTACGTAGAGATTCAACATCACCTGATAATTACTGTTTAGGGATGAAAGGAACATTTGTCATTAGTCAATATGTCAACAAGCATTTGTGTCTCCAGTTAATGTGAAATACAAATCTCTTTTGGATATATTCCTTTTGACAGCGATTACTGTCGGTTGTGTAAGTGTGCTCACTATGTAATCAAAACAATCTCCGTCAGACTCAAAGATGGAGTGCCTGCAGCTCACGATGACTGAGGTCCTGAAGAGACAGAACTGCAAAAGCAAGAAGGGCTACAACCAGGTGAGCTTGACGCGACATCAGCCTCTCGCTTTTAACAAACAACTCTGCAACACGTTCTCTATTTAAATACAAACACCTCTGTCTTGCTTGATGGAAAGAAAAAGCCACAACACAGGCAAGACTGGCGTGTGTTCTGCCAAAAGTAGTATTTGCTCAATATTGCAGCTTCATCTCTTCACTTCGGTTAGATGCAGAGTTTTTGATTCGCAGCAGTCGTTTCGCACCTCAGCAGAGTGGTCAATGCTCTCTTTACAACCCAGGGACAAAGACAAATGCTTCAATAACAAAAGTAAAACAACTCAGACAAGCTGCAATAGCAATGGTTCGTCATGTCAAATGATATGCAAATATATATTGCACAAGGTTGAAGGAATTTTCCAAACATCTAGCCTTTTTTTTTTTTTTTTTTTTTTTGTGTTTTCTTCATCAACATGTTTATTCATGAGGTGCCGTGCATTTCGTTCTGCTCTGTTCTCTCTCCTTTTGTAGCAGCTGAGCGTGACGGAGGTGAAGGTGGATAAGGTGCAGGTCGGCGGTGCTGGAAACACAACCTTTGCTGTATGTCTGGACCAGGATGAGAAAAAGATACTGCAGAGTGTCACCAGGTCTGGACACACACACACACACACACACACACACACACACACACAAAATGAGAAGTGTCCTAAACAGAATCGTTTAAAACCTGTCCTCACACACACACACACACACACAGACACACACAGAGGAATTGATGTTGACATACATAGTGTCTGGAAAAGAAGTGGTACACCTCAACTTTTGAATCTTTCAGTTCTGTAAAGTGGTGGTAGTGTAGCTCCCCTAGACCGGCTCCCCTGATCATGTGACGTCTTCAGCTTAAATAAGTTTCACATGTCAGAGAAATGATTTCTCGCCTCAAAGACAGATGAGACAGGCTTATTATTTCTTGACGTATTCTTACCACAATTTCATAGCTCAGCTGCATCCTCTGCAGCCAGATACCAGTTTCCTCTCTGAAAACACACACGTGAATAGAAACACACACACACACTTCCACCATCCACTCACAAGTCACAACCTTCGCAAGTGTTGTTGTTTACCTAACTAACCCATGTGTCTCCCTCTGTCCCACATAGATGTGACATATCAGTCTGCTACAAGCCTGACAGCTCCGCCGACTGGAGGCTAAGAAAAGCCCCGACCTCGGCCCAAATCCAGCCTCTCAACCCCAGCTTCTGCTCCCTCCTCTGCCTGCCCATAGTCACTTTCAGCGGGGCTCTTCCCTGAAACTGACCACTGGTTTGAACTGGGTGGTTTGAAAGGAAATATTCTGCCCAACTATTCATGCTCTCAGTAACAGACACAGACTGAGGCTGTAGTCAAGTTCACATGATGGTGGCCTGAAACAGCAGTGGGATGCAACACGATGGAAAAGAGGGGCCAATCAGGAAACAGCAGACCCGGCCTGTGATCGTCAATACGAAGACATATCAAAGAACACGAAATAAAAAAGAACGAATATCTACAATAGTTCTAATGATGCGCAGTCCAGCTTCCTCTGTGCAAAGCAATCATTAGCCGTTGTTAAGGAAACTGTTGAAATTACATTCCAGGAGTTTCAGTTCCTTTTTTCTGGCTGACGGAGAAGTGACCGTACACACTCACAGTAACATTAGAATGTAAATTGGTCAGGGTACATCGTCAGGGTGTAGATGGGTTGAAATAAGCCTGGAGATCTCTTACCAGGAGATGGAATGTTAAAATGTGGACATCGTCTTCGAGTCAAAGTTTGAGAACTTGTCTCTGGATCAACCGACATGGGACATGGAGGACCAGGGGGACATGTACTGTGTAATGCCTCCATTAGGGGTGATTACGGGACTATGTGACTATATCTGAGAATGGACACTATGGACTTACTCAAAATGTCAATAATATGTTTGTAAAATATGATATTGCATGCTTTAACTTGAATGCTACATCATAATGTTTGATGTCAGTCATAGATGGGAATTTAGTGATAACATTTCTCCTAAGGAGTTACTGTTTTAACTGGAGTTTTAAATGTGACCAGCAGGGGGCTCTGTTGACATTCCAACCGACTTCAGTTGAAGTAAAGATTACTTTAATATACCATAACTGTAGTGAAGTCTCACTTTGTAATAACTGTAATGGAATATATGTACAGACCATAATTTAGCTCTCGCAAAGTGCTAACCTTTATTTCATCAAGGGCACAGATGGAAAATATAAATTTGATATTGTGGTGCTAAAAAAATACCTTTATAAAAAAGTAACTGATTCGTTGCACTTTGCATAATGTTTGACATTTGAAATATGTATAAAAATTGCTGTGTTGCTGTAAAGGGATAATACCCGGATCACCTGACCGAGACTGAAATGGTAGCACTGCAGGTAAATATCTTGTGTTGAATTGGAGCACTTGAACATTAGATTAATAAATTAGGTACTTTTATGTTTATTTAGATAAATGCCCTGCATGCCTTCACTATTGCAAATGCATATTTATAATTGTGTGTGTATCATCTATGCAATGGAAACCAATCTTCATTAAAATGGATGTCTTTAATCCTCATCATATTTGCTTTCATTTAAAGAGATTCCTATCTGTCCATCTGTCTATCTGTCCATCTGTCTATCGCTGTAAATAATAGTTTACATGGACACGTGCTCTGATTGGTTACCAAAGCGTAGTTGAGACGCGATGGGCGTGGCCTGAAGACGAGCCACAACGTCACGTTGACAGACGCTTTGAGGTGAATGAATGTGTCACCGACCGAGGGATGAGACAGCTGGTACATGGAGCTGTTTACACAACTTAGCAGCAGGTAAGTTTTCCAAAAGGCTGACATATTTGATGTTTTAGTAATTGCAGACTTATTGACATTTTCATTTATTTGTGTGTCTACGTTGGCAACTCACGAAACAACTAAGGTAAAGTTAGAAAGATATTGACAGATTCGGACTTCCCGGTTCAATAAATCATTAACGAAACGTTGCTGAAATACAAACGATACCTCCCTGTAACCGTAGTGAGGTAGACAACAAGCTACAACCGTAATTGAATTAAAACGGGCCGTCTTACGGACTCCTCCGAGCGTGACAATCTGCATTGGTCTCAATGAGCGGCCGGCTGCGCGACCAGTGCGCAGGGACCGTCTACAAAGTGCAATGCGGAAAATACCTACTACAACAATATTCAATAGCTTCACTGTCATGCAATGTAGTGTAACCAAAATCACTTCATATATCAATGAGCTCCTTCCTGTAGTACTACAACTGTTATTTTAGTTTCACCAGACTTGTAGATGGTTATTTATAAATCAGCTCATGGCTGCCTCATGACCAAGTGTTGAGTGCATACTGTATATGGACATACTTTTCAGTAGACCAACATTTCTGTATTAAAAATCCTTTTTTTAATTGGTCTTATGTAATATTCTAATTTTGTGAGATACTGAATTTGGGGTTTTCATTAGCTGGACGCCATAATCATCAAAATGAAAAGAAATAAAGGCATGAAATATATCACCCTGTGTGTAATGAATCTATATAATATATGGGTTTCACTTTTTGAATTGAATTACTGAAATAAATTAACTTTTCGATGATATTCTAATTCATTGAGATGCACCTGTATGTTAAATAGAAACGTGCACTAAAGAGAATATTATGCTGCAGTTTTTAGACACTAAAAAACATCCATGTCAGAGGCACAAAACATAAAAGCATGCAGAGTATGTGAAATACATAAATCAGTCAGACACAGCTAAACAACAATAAAAGACAAGCATGCAGGTAGATGAGGGTCGACCGGCAATTTCAAGACAGACAGACGAGGGAAAGTTCAACACGGACAGAGAAGCAGCTACATTCTAGTGCTGACAGAGTTGGGTACTAACTAACCATTTCTTTAATTGAGCTTTAAATTAACTGTATGTTTGTAGTTCTCTAATGGTTACTGGTTTGACCAAATCACTGATAATTTAATGTCACTTGGAATCGTCACCAGAAAGAGAATTTGACAGCACCTGTCAAAAGTGATTTTGGTCACACTACACTATAACAGTAAAGTTATTGAATATTATTTCCAATAAAAATGCACTAAAATTAATCAAAGTCATATTTTTTCAAAATAACAGTTGTAGTACAACAAAGATGAGCCCATTGATATATGAAGTGATTTTGGTCATGCTACACTTATCAACAGTAAAGCTATTGATTATTATTTTCAATAAATATTCACTAAAATTAATCTAAATCATATTTTTTCAAAATAACACTTGTAGTACAACAAGGAGGAGGCCATTGATGTGTGAAGTGATTTTGGTTACACTACATTGCATGACAGTGAAGCTATTGAATATTGTTGTAGTAGGTATTTTCCGCATTGCACTTTGTAGACGGTCCCTGCGCACTGGTCGCGCAGCCGGCCGCTCATTGAGACCAATGCAGATTGTCCAGCTCGGAGGAGTCCGTAAGACGGCCCGTTTTAATTCAATTAAGGTTGTAGCTTGTTGTCTACCTCACTACGGTTACATGGAGGTATCGTTTGTGTTTTAGCAACGTTTCGTTAACGATTTATTGAACCGGGAAGTCCGAATCTGTCAATATCTGTCATAACTTTACCTAAGTCGCTTACTGTAGCGCGCAGATAAGGAGCGGCAGTGTGGTTAACTGCAGCACCTGACTGTCTGATGAAGTTGACCATAGATCACAGCTGTAGGCTGCGGCACATGTCAGCACTCTCTTCTTTTTTTTGAATGGGCTCTTTCACTTGTAAGTCAGGCTATAAAAAAACCCGTCCTCATGGGTTATGTACTGAGGGACTTCGGTTTATTTTTTCCACCTCCTGGGATAATAACAGGGCTTTAAAAACAATGCCTGATCTGATTGAAGCCCTGGCTCTCTGTTGTGTCTGCTGGGAGTCTAACAGCACAGTTGCATTTCTTACAGCTTCCTTGTTTTAGATCCGAGCTTCCTGGTAGGCCTACCTCTTTGGGCGTAAGGGAATGCAAGCTGGCTCCAGTCTTTGTCTGTGTCCACTATAATCACTTTGAAAGTGGTATTTTTGTTCCTAAAATGAGCCAGCAATTGTTTAATTGAACCCATCATATGGGAACATTGCTATCCTTAACAATAAGGCACATATCAAATCTTTAGTCGTTATATAAATGTCAAATGTTGACAACATAAAGGTGTTGGAGCTATTCACCGCCACACAATGCCGAATTAAAAAATAATCTCTCTCCAAACAAATCAGACCGGTGATGTCAACGATTGGGTGAGGCATTCCAGTAAGACATGAGAAAACAGTGACATAGTGGTTTGAAATATTTAGGCCATTGACTGAATGCTGGTAATCCAGTCTTGAACCTGATGCTCGAGGGAATAACTCAAAAGATATTGGGACATTAAGTATCACTGTAAAACCAACAATCATTTCTCATAATTATACCACGCATGATGAGCAAAGTGGTTACAGTCCACATGAGTCTAGATCTGATCTCCGTCGTGACGGTAACCTTATTATCAGTGCGATCACCGTGCCAAAATATGAACGCAAACATCAACAGTGACATAATGCAGCGATAACAACATGTGTATAGCTGTTCAGGTGAGACGATGACTGGAACAGCAGAACCAGGATTGCTATTTGAACGTCAACACAAAAACTGATTACCACTAACTCACTAAGTCATTAATCATAGGCCGAACCCAACACCCTTTTAGTTATAAGTATAAGTCTATAGGCTAACAATAATGAGCACATTAAATATATTAAGCTTCACACAACACAAAACTAAGCTTTTTTTCCCCTCGTAGTTTATCCTCTTGTAAATATAGCCTGGGAACATCATTTACCAGTTAAAGTTGTTTTTCAAAAGGTTTTATACTGTAACCGCTTAAGTTCAATGTAGAAAGTTGGCTGCATGCAAGGACTGGAAAGAACCACCACTAATGTACCCATCACTGCCATCTCTTCAGTCTTCGTCTTTTAACAGGATGAAGCTGCTGCCAATTAAAGAAACATTTGCTACTTTTAGGCAGAAGTCGCCTTGGAGTGCTGAGCCCTCGTCAGCCCACACTCCTGCTCCGTATTCCCGGGAAAAGTTATTACAAAACACCCTAAACTCCACATACTGCAGCTCCCGAAATGCAGACAGCCGCAGACTCTCTTCAACATGAGACGCTGCCCTCGCGCTTGTCGCGTGGGGGTTATGAAAACAAAGGGCAAACACTTCTTGGCAGTCGTGTACCTGCGAGGCTCCCTGGAAAGCAGTCTCCATCGTGGGTAAGGCTGTTTCATGCCAAGTGTGTGAGCGCGCGGATCTATTTCTGCTGCTGATCATGTCTATGTGACGCACTTGGTACATCCTGTGCTTGTAGCAGTTGGATCGCTTTCCACTCAGTGACCTCCTGTGAACGCTTAGCGCTATGCTACCGCGTTGCCTCATTATGCCCACTGTGGCTGAATAAGGTCTGCTGCGTCGTGAGACTGGTGATTCACAGGAATCCTCACATTTGTCTATGTGCTTTTGACTTTTTCTGAGGCCGCAGCTGTATCTAGGCTAACAGGGCTGTCTTTGTTCGGAGCTGATTTTATCCGCGATAAGAACGGATTTAGAAGTATTTCATGTGTGAAGAATGAATCTATTCACTGTTCCCAAACACTGATGGACATGTATGTAAGTAAGGGGTCATGCACTGGCTATACTGTAAGTGCAAAGATCAAAGAAAGTATCGACATGTTTTTAAATTGACTGCTAAAGTTTTTGGAGGCTGCAGAAGAAAACCTGCTGGTATTTTGTTAAGTATTGTGTAAGTCAGTGGGAGTTGCATGTGCACTAAATCCACATGCATATTGTATGTGTGATCACACAGGTTGTGTTTCACTGCAACGTATCCTCAGGTCAGTTCGTATGATATCTAATGTAAAGTTCCTCCCCATCTTGCGTGCGTTTTCCTACGAAAGCCAGCAACACGTGTCATTAGTTACATGCGTATGATCGTTTGAGAATATACTTCTGTTTTCACAGGAAACAACCCAATTAGGTGTGATTACCAATAAATAGGTAATTAATGATTAATTATGGTAAATGCCAAAACTACTTGGTTAGGTTTAGAAAAACCTGCCTGTCCTGTTTGCATAGTGCACTTGTGTTTCACCGTAGTATTTGTTCAAAACTCCTTAACTGACACGTGTTACCTAATCCAACCTAAACGCCACATCCTCTGACCCCCTGACCCCTAATGGACCAATAAACCCAGTTATCGCCATCACAGACCCCATAGACCCCACAGAAGGATCACTCACACACACACACACACACACACACACGCCTTCTCGGGAAACCCCTTTGTATCTACCTCTTCCTATCTGCCTTCCTCTTGCCTGATGGATTTAGCACACTATACTCCCCGCAGCATACACCATCGACGTGTCCATGCACGCCTCTGGTTGTTGGAAGTCATATTTACACCAACTCCTCCAATTGGCACATTTCCTTTAGTTTTTTTAACGACATATCCACCTGTTTGTTGCAGATTTTGCAGCAGTATTTTATACAATTTATGCAGGCCCTGACAAGAAAAAACAAATCTTTGGTCAGTCAGGGCCATGCAGTTTTACAGACACACACACACTTGCACACGCCTCACACACATTCGCCGGTCGAAGTGGACTTCCTCATATTGTTCAGCATGTTGATGCAGGAAATCGCGTTGATTGATATCCCCCCCGTAGCTCACACTGGATTAGACGTTCGGGGTGTCGTTGCAACTTTTGAATGTGTGTGTTTCTGCCCCCTTTGGTCTCAGTCAACTAAGACTTCTTTGCTCGATCAGAAATCTTTTTTTTAATGCTTTTTCATGACTGTTTTTTACTTATTAGTGGCACAAATGTAAACTCTTAGCTTTTCTTGAAATGCTACTCGGGTACTTCTTTCTATCCACATTTGCACAGTGTCATATTTGTTATCTCCTTGCGAAGGGGGAAAAACAGGGAGGAATTTCATGGTGACACACACACTTTGCAACATGCATTTCCTTATGAGAAAATTCAAGTGCTGTGACTCTGTACTTTTTTTCAAGTTTTGCTTGCCAGCTGTACAGGGAACAAACTCTGCAGGTGCTTTCCTCGCTCTTCCAATTTCTCCAGGTCTATATGCAAGAGAGGATGAGACACATAGAGGATGCTATCGTAGGTTGGGGATTTCCAATCAAGCAGACTAACACACACACGCACACACTCTGCTGCACCGCTTCTCTCTTGCTTTACGTACGAACGCACTTCCACAAGTCGCTGTCAGGTCCTTCCTGTTTTGTTTTTTCTCTGAGATTTCTGCAGCGCGCCTGAACGGAAACGAGCGCTCCTGTTTTCGGGGGCCGCATTGTTTGAGAGACTCCGGCTGACCACCGCGATGCACTGTGACGGCTGCCCCGCACAGGGAAGGCAGATATGTATCACTGGCGAAACTCAGATCAGGAACCTAATTCACATCAACCGTATAGTCAACAGTCATAGGGGAAGTTTGCTTCACTGGCATGTGGCCTTAGCATCTGTAAGCATTTTCAACTTCTCGTCTATTTATAAGCACTTTTCCTGGGTATTTGACAGGATTTAATGGTACTAATGGCAAAGGAAACAATGTGTGCTAGTCAAGTAATGGATGTTGTAGTCCATACTTGACCACTCGTGGTATGTTCAAATGATGGAAGAGGATGTTGCTGCTGCAAAGTCCAGAGTCTGGGTCCAAAAAGTTAGGAAAGATCAAAGGATGGACTCTGATTGGTGACGTTTGGAATGTTAATTGATACGGTGCAACAGCATTTGTACGAATAGTCATTTTATATGTTATCCGTGCTTTGTGTTTGTACAGTGAATCGCATTGCTCTCACCTCAGTGTCCACATACACAGTGTGTTTAACTTGGCTTCGTTTGTTAAAACTCAAATTCCCTCTCGACTCCCTGGTGATGTTTGTTTGAGCAATTGTGTATTTAAGAAGGTTCTTTGTGTAAGAAATGCACAGAAATAGCTGGTGGACTTTGACCAAAATGTCAAACTAAATTAAGTCCTGTATTTGAAAGTTTCATTTACAGTAATATTAGCAACGATGACATGCAATCGAAGAGCTGTGATGGTTATTTTGTGTTTTTAGAGGCTTGCTGTCCTTCAGACGTTGTCCTGCAGACTGTGGTTTTTTCTAAGTTAGTTATTTGTAAAGGTTGTGAATGATGTGGTGCATCTATTTTTAAGCTTTTCTAAACTCTGCTTTCCCCGGTGACTCTGGCTCACTCTCTTTCTGCAGCTCTCTCTCTCTCTCAGTCTGTCCGTCTAAATATAGAGTGTTGTATGCCCACTCATTCTGACAGAGAGGAAATGCTGTGGGTGTGTGAGCTCCTACACTGCATTAATAGTTCCCATCAGAAAGGTAGAAACAGAGTGTAAATTTGCACATCTGTGTGGGCGAGAGTCCACATGCGTGCACTTCGGAGGCCTTTTGCATGCACCTGTATGTGAATGCATGGTGGAGGGGTGAAAGACAGAGAGACAAGAGAGTGAATACACCAGAGGCAACCGGAAACTTGTGGTCAAACAGCCAGCGTTCGGCTGCCTGTTTGACAGGCTGTTTGTTTTTGAAAGCACAGCTTTTCTTAAGGGGGATCGAGGTTAATCCGTCACACAAAATCCTTTCTTTGTACACATGCAGCCTGTGGAATGACCTCCAGCGCCGTGTGTGTGTGTGTGTGTGTGTGTGTGTGTGTGTGTCGACACGGAAGAGAGCAACATGTTGTGAGTCAGAAGTTTAAATTCAAATGCATTTAGCCGACGAAACAGGACTCAAACAGGTTATGACTCTTTGACACCTGCAAACAGCCCCCCCCCCCCTCCTCCTCACTTGCCTGTCACTCTCTCTCTTTCTCTTTCTCTGTGTGTGTGTCACACTTGTTAGATTCAGTACAGAGAGCGTTGCGTGTGGATGGAAAAGACCTGTGGGACAGAGTGAGTTTATCTGATATTATTTCTACACCTGCTATGATTTGACTGGTAAACTAACTAATACGTTCCATTAAGAGAGAGCATTATGGTTTGTGATGTTTAGTTTCTGTGAATGAGGCTTCTTATGATACATTTCTGCTGTATATTTATCACAAAGATCGTGAACATGAGCTCTCGTATCGAGATGATTTACGGTCAGTATGTTTGGAGCAGAGCAGTAGAGGTTTTTTTTAAGAATTTGCCCAAAGCATGAAAGTCATCTTCCACCAGTCTGCATTTACATGCTGCAGGAAATGCAGTCACTGTGGCAATTAGCGCTTAGTGTTTGTTGTGGTTTATTTCTGTTGGATATATTAATGTCATCATCGTTAATTTCATGATCTGAAAGGAATCATTGGGGTCATTTTTCTTTCTTGTTCAGATAAATATAAATGAAAAATGTCCCAATGAATTTAGTGCCGCGGATGGTTGAGAGGTGACTCACAAACCTGTGTGGGACCTGAGATAATGTGGCAAGGGGTTTGAAGTAGGTGGTTTATAGGAACACTTTCTGACAGTGTTGGGGAGGGTTAGCGTGGGACAACTGCACCTTGTGGTGTTGGTAGGTGTGTGTATATGTGTGTGTGGGTAAAGGTTCTCTTTACGAAAGTAAAGATATAGAGGAGTAATGTCTGCCTGCTTATTGAATGATATCGCTCTCCCTCTGTGTGATACGAGCTTCTCTGGGTTTTGTTGACATAGCCGGGCCGTACGTGAGTGCCTTTTGGTGCATGTTCTTGCATTTGAGCATGCCCCCACTAGCTAGCTCATGTGTGTGTGTGTGTGGAGGGGGCTCATCAACAGTTGCAGCTGATAAGGACAGGATTGTCCCGAAAGGGACCTCCTGTAACCTCCGGTTACCCCCTAAGGTAAAAAAACGGTGAGCTCTTTCAGCCTTGTTGCCGCCATTCGCACTGTTGGCGCTGTTAGCACCGTTAGCTGTTAGCCACCAGCGCAGCAGCCGACGCCACGTTGAGAGCCGTGTGGAGGCAATAGATATGCCCTGAATTGCATATCGAGCACCGTTAAACACTAAACTTTGGATTCAACCCTTCAGCAGTACCCACACTTGCATGAATGTTGACTGGAGGCAATATGGTTCTCACACTCAAATTCAAAAAGAGAAATGTGTAGAGATGATATTATTGTCACCCTGCCTGTGAACAGAGATAGTTTTAAATAGCTTCATTCAATGTATCAGCAAGCAGACAGAAAAACAAGAAAACAGTCATCACTTACCCACATTTACGGTCAGCCACCGCAAGTGAGGCAGGCTCTCCGACCGCTTAGTGTTTGACCTTGGACGCACATGACTGACACCTTCCTGTCTGTGTCTTCTCTCTGCTTAAAGATGAAACACCCACAATGCACGTGAGACATGACCAACAAGGCCCCCTGGGATAACGCAAGCAGTACGTGCAGCATGGAGCCTCCAGGTACGTACAACACACACACACTGTCCGCAACGGTGCACATTTGTGCAGACAAATGGATCTCCCTTTTGTATAAATACATCGATACATTTGCAGACTCAAACGCTCAACCTCTCATCTTTATTGTCAGCCGGCTGCTCCCCCACAGTTCCAGAGCCAGAACTCTACCGCAGCGTCATGGCTATCCTGCCCAGGGAAAGGGACAACCAGCAGCCCCAAGACTGTCTCAACAAAGGTAAAATAGATCTACTACAATCCTTTTAAAAAAAGTATCAAGATGTGAAGTATTCTTTCCTCGCAGCGCTGGTGTGGTTTTTATCCGTCTTTGCCGTTGGCTCTGCTCACATGTAATATTATGAGGTCTTACAAACAGCATCCTCTGAATGTATCACAGATCTTAACTTGATCTTTATGGTGGAGAGAGTTCCAAAATTGCCAACAGCAAAAATACTTCATCATGTGAATAATGCATTCACATTACGGTTTCAATACATCTGTGCGTGTGGTGTAGACGTCACAAAGCTCACTCGATTCTCTGCTGGAGACTCCATTTGTTAATTTGTTTTTCTGTATCCAAAGCAGTTCCTTCCCGTAAACCAATGGATATCTCCTGAAGCCAGCCTGCTAGTGTTAATCCCACTGTGCAACATTCAGCCGTGTCAGCAGTGTGACGGCTGTTCAGTTGCTAGTCATCAGACATATTTCAGATTAGTCATGGAGAGAGGTCTGACACATTTAGCAAGTCTGTGTTAGACCTGTGGAAATGTTGTATGGCTTGTGTATTTATCTGTGTGTGTGTGTGTGTGTGTGTGTGTGTGTGTGTGTGTGTGTGCAGGCATGCTGAGGTGGACGCTTCATAAGAAGGTTCAAAACAATCCTGTGAACGGCTTATCTCTGGTGTGGGTGCTGATAAAAGAGCTGGAAAAGGTACTTGATCTCAGCAGTGGCTATGTTGACACTTTGAGACTCCAAATAGTGCTTTCAACAGGGTTTATTTGTGCTGGCTTTTTCCAGAGGATTTAATATTTACTGATTGGAATTGACTTGACTGACCATGAACCTTATTCCTTCAATCGCTAATTATAATTTGAGTTAATCAACTAATTGTTTTATCTGTGAAATTTGAGCTAAAGCTGGTTATTCTTCTGTCGATGAGCTAATCGGCTGACCGAGTGTGTGTTTTCTCTGCAGGCTGAGAGGTGGGACTCTCGCAAATGCATCATCCCTCTGCTCCACACACTGATGTATGCCATCATTCAGGTACAGTATAGCTGCCACATTGTTGCATTGTTGAAAAAGTACAAAAAAAGTACTGTCAACCAGGAAGTGAATGCTTATTATTCGATTACCGTATAAAAGAAAAAGGAGTTTTCCTTTCCGGTATTAGTTGTAATGAGTAGGCGCGTGTTTTTTTTTTGTTGATATTCCAGACAGCCTACATTCCAGATGAGCTGTACAAGCGTGTTTACGACTTTTGTAAGAGACTCCTGACCTATCCCCATCCCTACTGCACTGTGGGCTTCAGCTACACGAGACAGATCAAAACTGAACGCTCCATTCCAGGTATTATCCAACTCTCAGCTCGACGTTTCAGTCTAAATTTTAAAACGGGAGGCGACTGGTTCACTTGTAGAACTTCCTGCTCGAGGAGCTCATCTCACCTATATAGCCTGTAGTTGTTTTGACACTTTAAATATGCTGTTCTCTTCAATCTGCATTCATAGCTATGTTGGTTATGTTCTGAAGAAAGGACACCTCGTGTTCCACATCAAAGATGACAGGGATATTTATTCACAGGCATTTTGTCACAACGTCATGATCGCACAAAGTCACTTCCAACAAAGACCAATCCCTCAGACGGGTCAATCAAAGCGTAAATGATCTATTACAGACCACACATGCTTTGTAATAAAGACTAGAATGACTTGTCGGACTGAGACTAGCTAGTTTTGACACGGGAGAAAGAAATGCCAGATAACGGTAACTGTGATGTTTAATGAACTGTTTATTCATCAAGCATGCATCAGTTTATCCATATGAGGATTTGCAACCACGCACCGCTGTTAAATTCCCGTTTGATCCACAGGTCTGATGTACCAGAGGATGGTGACAGCCGAGCAGAGACTAAAAAATGAGCACTATCCCTTTCAGGAGAGGTGAGTCATGAATGAAGAAAAGAAGCCTTGGAGAATTGTAGATTTGCCAAGGCTTGTTCTATTCCCTCATACTGCTGCATGTGTCGCCAAACCCCCGTTGTGTAAATCCCTGCAGGGTCTTCATCCTGGCTGACCCACAAGTCTTCTCTGCCTCTTTGGAGCAAGTGCTGTCGGGTGATATTGGGACGTCCTCTTCAGCTGCAGAAGGATCTCCGAGTCCTTTCGATCACATGTGCATCGTGGTCCAACACTCCATACAGGCTGCTTTAGGAGCGGAGCAGTGCAACGGGCCCAGACTGGCTCGAGCCCTGAAGGTTAGTGGAACCCACCACAAAGCTGTTGGGTTGTCCTCACTCACTGCCTTCTCCTTTCACTTCACGGTATCACTCCAATACCGCTTTGTCTATTTACTTTTTTTGAGTCTTGTTATGTTCAGTTTACCGCAAGTTTGCCTCGCCTGTTTGGCTCTCTAATAACCCTGACCTCATACTGATGCATGGTGTGTAGAGTCAATTTGAATGTTTTCCGCATGCTTTCCATTTTCTCCTATCTAGTCGGAGCCTGGCTCAGAATTCCTCCGTGTTTGATTGTTTAATTATTAACTTAATCCTCCTCATCAAATGAAGTCACACTGTAGACTCTAATGAATGTGCTGAATGAAAAAGATTCAGTTCGCCGAATTGGTATTGATGTTGAAATATGGCTGGGGATTGAGTTTCCTGAAACATATAATGTGTGTAACAGTTAGGTCTGTCCCCAACACCATTTTTGTGGCTTTGAAGCTTCAATGGGTAGTATTGGCTAACTTCATCAATCTCTTTCACACACATTGCACGCATATGCACGCTCACGCACACACAGAGAAAAAGAGAGAGAGGGGAAGAGAACCTCCTACTCAGTCAGTAAGTGAAACCGATATACGGCTGCTAGAAATAGTTTTTTTCTCCACAACAACTCAAGCTGTGAAACATTCTTATTACTGTCCAATGAGAGATAAGAAAAGCCCCGGACTTCAAGGCTTTTTTCTATTTATTGAAACGAAAACAGATACAAAATGTGCAACAATCACATCAAAATCAATGACAGCGATAGCCCATAGAAACACATTTGCTCTTTTGCAGGCCTATAAACAAATGAATTGATAAATAAACTGTAGCATATGCCAACATAAAATAAAAGACCTGGCTTTGTTGAGCCTGTCTGTCGATCAATCTCTCCACTTTTACAGCACACACACACACACACACACACACACACACACAGCCTTAACAACAATGCCGCTCTACAGTTAGAAAGTAATGGTATGCTAATCTGAAGGCCCAAATGTGTAAAGCGGGACGTGTCATGACATGTTGCTTCTCTTCTCTTTAGTCTCCAGTTAATCTCCAGTCTGTGAAAGATTGTAATTGAGTCTGCGCTGTTGTATCACAACTTCTCTTTATAGCTTCAGCAATTTTTTTTCCATGTGAATGCACAATTTGTATATGCTGACTGTTGCCATTCAGGACGGAGTGAATTACCTTTGTGGTCACTTCTGTACAGTTTAAGCGATAACAAGTTCCAGAATGACTCTCGAGTTGAGAGTATCGTCAGCAGAATATAGTGGGGCTACATTTTTGGTGATGGCAGTAAATTTTTTCAGTTTTTTCTCCCGGATTTAAAATAGTTTGAGAGTCCGTGCCTCATATGTACGTGTTGTATAAAACATCCTGAATGAAGGTCTGTTGGTGGAAGTGTCTCCTGGCACCGATCCTAAAGTAACACCTCAGCAGGACGCACATGAGGGCAGAAACACACACACACGAACGAGCAACAAACAAACCCCTCACCTCTGTGCTATTAATACGGACTCTGTGTGTGTTTGTCTTCCTGTGAGCATGTGAGTTCACCCGCGTGTGTTTGTGTGTTCCGGGACAGGACATGGGTCAAGATGTCGAGTCGCACTTTCAGGAAGTGTTGGCGGCTCTGGAGCAGAGCGCGGAGGAGGGCGGCAGAGGGGAGGGGGGAGCGCTGAGGAGCCGTCTTCAGCGGCTGTACAGCGTGATCGTCACGGATGCGGACTCGGGTAAGGAGGAAACGCAGCAAAGCTGTGCAGGGCAGAGCTTCTCGGAGGCACAGCTGCTCTGTCTGAGGCACAACACAACTTATTGGTGTGGCCAAACATCAACGAAGGATAAGAAACCACACGAACCGCCGTCACTTTTGGTTATAAAAAAGCACACATTGTAAGTGACATGTTTTCTGTGTCCCAGAGGGCTTGTCACACCGGCTGTTCCTGAGATCAAACGTGTGACCATGTGACCTCTCTATTTAGCGGCTTCCTCCATGGCCAAATCAGTCGAGTCAGTTGTTTGTAGATTATTTTTAATATTCCGGATATCTATTTCCGGGAAATCCACTCTTATCATGTCAGCGACCCATCCGATGAACCTGCTCCCCCTTCATCCCAGCTGGGAGGTGGAGGGATGCACAGCAGTGTTCACAGACAGGACGTTATGGGGGTTGGGGAGGTGTTTTGTTTTGAGTGTCATTGTGACAGTTTTGGTCTCTTCCTATCTCTCTTCCTCCACTCTCGTGTGTGTGTATTGCAGAGCCATTGTCCGGTGGACGACTGTGCGACTGCCCTCCTCCGAACCCAGATATGAGCTTCCACATGTGGACGGAGGATCTGGATATCTGTGAGTGAATCTGGAACCGTGGGGGGTTTAGAGGAAGTTGTTACTACCAGTCAGCTGAACCAAATTAGGCTGAAACTGGAATTATCTCCTGAAAACCGAACTGGATAAAGAGAACCAGAAGTAAAAGAAAAAATAGTCTGAGTTGTAGATTGTTGGGAGCCTCCTCGGGAGCCTTAGGGCAGACCTGCGGCAGTTATTGAAGGGACTTATTCCGTGCTGTGGTTTATGCCGTCTTGCGCCACGTGAGTGCAGACCTCTGAATTACACGTAACTGATGAATGTTGATATGTCGACAGGGCGAGTGCTGGCCAAGTGGTTTCGATCCAGCTCCATGTCGGAGCAGTTCTCCCTCAGCCAGGAGCTGGAGGACGTTGAGCTGGGTGAGTCGCCCGGCGACCTGATGCCGCCCGACATGACTCGCTTCTCCGTCATGTCCAACGACAGCGGCATCGAAAGAGACCTGCCCCCTGGCGCCGATCCCCCCCCATCACCATCTCTGGACTCTGCCGGCATGAGTGCAACATGGGAACAATGCAAAAGGTAAATCAAGTACCTAGTTTACATTAAGATAGATCATGCCCACTGCCAGTTTCGTGTATTTAACTTAATTTGCAGTCCCTGTAGAAACAGTCCCTGTAGGAAATGTTTCCAAAGCTTACCTTGGGTTTTTAGTGTTTCAGAGCCATTGTTTTCCAGGTAAATCATCTTGAAGACATTTAAAACTAAGTTGTAATCTTCACCAAGATCATTTAGTCACTTGATTTCTTGTGCAAAGATTTAAGAGTCTTTTGCTGAACTTGAGAACGTCCGAGACGCTCATCATGGGATCCCCTGTGCGTTGTCAAAGCCTCACGTTCATTTTGAAATGATTAGGACTTTGACTATAGCAGTAAAAAAAAAAACTCCGTTTTCCCAGCGAGCAAGAGTCGGGGAGGCTGTCACGGCGTGGAGGCATCAAGATGAAACCATCGGTGAAGGACGGCATGGTGCTGATGCAGGACACCCTGGAGGAACACGCAAGCCTCGGCGGAGGAGGAGGAGGAGGAGGAGGAGGAAGTGGAGGGAGGGGAGGAAGAAGAGGGGCGACTCTGCAGAGGCGGGCAGGAAGCTACGCGATGCAGAACCCCTTCTCCAAGCAGCAGAGACACTTTACTGCCAGGATAGTCGCCATGGGAGACGACAGGGTAATGGGTCGCCTGGCCAAGGCCTACTACCTCTTCAGGTGAGAGACTCATCATATCACAAGAGGACGAAGCTTCTTTCAAAGCAGCTGGATGTGTGACTGTGCTGATACAATATATATATATATATATATTTAAGTTTTATATAACTTTTTTACACTGTACTGTAGTCCTGTAGCAAGGCTGGCGAGTTTTCAGCTTTTGTTTGCCGAAACTGAAAATGTGGTTTCCATTATTATTCCCCTGATATTGTCAGTACATATCAAACTATGCAGTGATGCGTCAGCTCGATAATGAAAATGTGACATGAATACATGTCATGTGTGTGTTTTAACGTGCTCCGCAGTATCGTTTTCCGTCCAGCTCCACGATGCCGGGATGCTTCGCTTCCCAAGGCTTCACAAATTTCCTTTTTATCTTTCGTTCAGGTTCATCTGGTTCTTTCTTCAGTGGAATCAATTTCCACGTTCGTTTATGATGTTGATTAGTCACATGACTTCAGTTGCTCCGCCCTTGTCTCCAAAAAACAGATGCCTGTGTGCATGCGAGTAAACGCACCAAACTGTAGACTGTAACAGCAATATTTAAATATCACTAATTCAACAATATCTCTTTTGGGGCGCACGTTTGGTTGTTTGCTGTCCCTTGTAGTGGAAAAAAAATATCTTTTTAACCTCCCAGTGAGAAATAATCACGATGGAAACTTCTTAAAATATAAAAACATATTTAATGAACAGACACTTCAATAATAATTCAGCTGAATGGATAGAGCTCTTTCCCCACGGATGGTTCGGTGGTCTAACAACAATGAAGAGACAAAACAGAGTATATACGTGTATGCGCGTTATCTTGTCTCCTCTCCCTTCACCCTCCCCCTTGCAGATGTTGACGGCCGCTGCAGCCACCAAGGCCAGGTTCCCAGCCTTTTCGTGGGAAGAGGGTTCGGGTGGTATCTGCAGGTTTAAGCGATACAAGTTATAACTAAAAGAACCATATGATAAATTTCCACAACATCCCTATTTTTATGTGTCAAAAGTGGTTGTCACTGATGGCAATCCAAGACTAAGAAGTGGTGCAAATTTTTCAAAATGGTTGCGATGGCCACCTGGCATCCCTTGCTGTCGAGCCCTGAAGGAACAGTACAATAATGGAAACTTTATTCTAACAAAATACTCTGGGTATTTGTCTCATCTCTGGGTATCTCTGTCTCATCTGAAATAGATGACGGAGATTTTGGAGCAACGCGCATAACAATGAGAAAAAAAATATTTCCCTTAAACTGTTGTAAACAAGACGGTTGAAAAAAAAAAATAAAAATACCCCTCTTTGGTGCAAGAAAAGTATATACTGTATCTGAGAAAATGTTTTTAAATGTTAAATACATGTTGATTATAGATACATATTTGGTTTTGATAGGACACCTGTGTATGTAATAATGATGCCTGACTGTAAATGTATGGTGGAAATAATTTGGCCTGTTGACATCTAATCCTAAATTACTCTAATTACCTCATTGAAGCACTAACAATACAATGGGATCTGAACTGGAGGACTAATAAATCACTACTCTACAGTCAGCTTTGGGAAGCTGAACCGTACTTCTTCTATTGCAAACTTCAAAACCGCTTTGCCGCTCAGTGACGCGTGAACACATTTTAGTGCTTCTCACAAATTCTTTGCTTGTCTTTTGCAGGAAAAGGGAAGCGCGGAGGCTTTTTCTTACAATGAAAGTAAACCTCCAGTTTTACTACATCCCTGTTTGCGGGGTAACGACTCCCGTCTCCTCTATCAAGGTAAGGCCACTTCCTCTTGTCCAACACACCATCGGTCTGTTGTTGCGTGAGAGTCAGCACACCTCTGGAGATAGCAGAAGATCAGTTTTTCAAAAGGCCTAATTACACTGTAACTGTGTGTTTATTTAAAGTAAACATATAGTGAAGTGGAAAATACTCAGTAATGAAGTGACGAGATTCCAAAACATTGAATTTACATTGGCTTGGCTGCCTCTTTCAGTGTAACTTGTAATTAGTTTATAATTATTATTTTTTTGTTTTTAAAACAATCGGTGTTTAGTTGTCATTTTTGTAATTCAGTCATTGAGATTACTTTAAAATGAATGTAAGCTGTTGTGTCTTTTCTCCACCAAGAACCTCCATTTAAATAGACCTTGAGCCCCAACTGCTCTTTTGAGGCGAGAGAATTTTTTCCCATGCAAAAATTTGACCCTCACAAATTTAGCGAAGAAGAACTAGAAGAAGTGAAAACATGCAGCAGCTAGAGTAGGAAAACCTCCAGGCTCATCGCGTTCCCTCACTGCTGTTAATTTGATGCATTTTTGATTATATTCTACTTTCATGTATGTTCTTTTCTAGGAAAACCTCCATCGATCCAAGGAAAACCCCTGCACTCTTGGTTCCTACTTGAGCATGGTGGATCCGTGGTACAACTCTAACATCAAGAGTTTAGGCTGCATGATCCCCAAACTGGCAAAGATGGTACAATACCCTACAGTGATAATTGTAATAATATATAAATGGTATAAGAATGAAGAGATTCATTGCTTGAGATGACTTCTCGTTATGATAATAATGGAAAAGCTTGTTTTGTTCTAGTGTTGTGTGCTCTCAGGCTTAATCCTTCCTATGTTATACTCAACTACATTAAATGGGATTTGTAAAATGCGATATATTCGCTCAGGTTTGTCTATGTTGCAGCTCCTGAATTAAAGTTTCTCTCTTTCACCGAACTAAAACAGGTTGAATTGTCTTGTTAAGCCATTGTCAAAACACACGCCATTGAAACTCAGGCAGAAATGAAATATAGCTCACCAAAACCCTCTCGGTTAGTCTTCCCACTGTTCCATCAACAACGATAATTCACAGAGTAGGATGTGAAAATGTGCTGGCTGAACTCGTCTTGGCAGGCAAAATAAAATAAAATAAATTAGCTAAACAACAACCAGCAATGTACTCAGCCAATCATCAACAAATTTTTACATTCACCCAACTCTAAAAAAATGTTTTCCTCGAATTCCTGTATCCGCCCCTCTTTCCCAGAACTTTTCAAGTTACTGAAAAAAATGGAAAATTCTGCATTTTTGAATGGTTGAGGTGTGTTAAAGTCATGCGGTACATCAATGATGAACTAAAGTTCAATTTTAAGTCACTTTTTCTTACTTTATTGTTTCATTGAAATTACCAAGCGCTGCTGTTTTACCTGGCGAGCAGTTGACCTTTTTTGGTGACTCATTATATTCACTTGATGTGACCAAAATGAAGTTGTGGTTACAACATCATGCAGACAGGACGATTCATTTTTCGATGACTTTTGTCTTCTCCAGCAACAGATTAACCCAGGGACGTCAAAAGAGCCCTTTGTGTCTGATGTAATTTCCTACTACGTCCGGACCGGCCAGCAGCCGGTCTACTTCACCATCTACTTTGTTAAGGTAGTATATGATACATATTACGTGTAGTTTATTTGTGTGTGTGAGGGTTAAAAGCACAGTGTGCTCTCCAATCTGAAGCAGCGTCATACCAAAAGGTTTTAACACATAATGATTTCCATTTTTCAAATGTCTTTCATTTCTTTTGTAAAGAGTTGTTTGTTTTCTATTAGATCACGTTCACCAGCATGACAAGGGATCCCGTGGAAGATGTGTTTCTCACCCATCTAGAAATGGAGTTTCCTGAGTTCAGACAGATCTCAGCATCAATTAGAGGTGAATTGGGTATACATGAACACTATTTTCCCAATGCTGTCTTGATATTTGTACAAACCTGCCTCTCTACATCTGGACGCAACCAAGTTCAACAACATGCCGGTCTCTCAAACAGATAAACAGAAGAAGAGCTCGGGGGAGGCGTGCGGGGCGATGGTCTCATTGAATTACAGAAAGGTAAGTTGTGAGGTTTGTGAGTGAGTGTGCACCTGTGTGTCTGTCCACGGCTAGTCTCCCATTCTATTGCAACAAACTGCATAATGTTTTGGGGGGGGGCAGTCATGGCTGCGTGCGGAAAGACATTTTATGGTTGCGGTGACTCACACTTTCTCAAAACCTTTTATTGCCACTAACTGCCTCACTCCTCACTCACTGGACGACGAGACACAGTGGGGGAAAACCATAGACTATGTGTACTGTATGTGGGAAACTATTTGCCCACTTTCTATTGTTTTGGACAGTGTGTTTGGCTAACAGCTAACTGAACTACACACACGGCTGATTGCATCGCCTCAGCTCAGCTGCACGCCTGCACAGAGACATCTGCATGGAATAGAATGAGAGACGTGCGAGTGAAAAACACGTTTGATACACTTGCAGTCTAGACAATCTTAAACAACTGTTAGTTTTGTTCATTCAATCACAATATTCTGGTTTCCTTATTAGATTACTGGCACTGTAGCCACATGCCTCATCAATTACCGAAGCGATTGCTCACGAGTATTGTGTTGTGTAGCGTGTTGTTTGTTTGAATGCTAAAGGCTTGACACTCGCATGCTTTCTTTGTGTGTGTGTTACTAGGTGACATTAAGTGGCCGAGACGTTGACAAAGCAATGTCATTCAGGACGACAGGCGCTCAGATCACTCCTATTCCCTCCAATGAGGCAGAAGGTTCAGTATTATCTTTAACTGTAACACATTCAGTATTCAATACTTTTATTTATTTATATATATATATATGTATATGTATATGTATATATTTCATGACTTTGTTTTATTCTTATGCTTCCTATTTTTCCTCTGCCTTCGTCTCATAGATCTGAACTGTTTGACCATGACACTGAATGAACCTCCAGCAAAAAACAAAAACAACGTTGTGGTGAGTCTAGTGCTGGGCTCAAACATCTGCAGTGGATAATCCTCACATAGACGACTTATGTTAAAACGAGGCATAGAATGTAAATGATCAATTCAACAATAAATTCATCCTTTTATTTTGAAATTCCCAGGAGTCAAAGATTCGTTCCAGCAACATTAAGATTCGCACTTTGGAGAGTCGACATTTCACTGTTACACTGGACAGAGACTGTCGCAGGAGCTACAGAGATGTGCAGAGGTAAGAGAGTCCAGCCTTCATTCACTCACCACTGAGTAAAGGTCATATAGAGGTTTGGTGTGTCATAGGTTAGAAACATGATTATTGATAGCCGACATTGCTAACAAGGCACTAGCAGAACAAAGAGACCTCTTCTTCTCTTCTTCTTTTAAAGTGGAACTCTACAGTTTGTATAAGAAATTACTCCGTCAGGGTCTAGTTTGTTCCACCTTGATTTGCTCCCCCTTTTTCGGTGGACCCAGTTTCTGTGCACCCCTGAACTGATGTCTCCATTTTCAACGTGTTTTGTGTTGCAGCGTCGAGATCTCCCCGTGTCTTGATCCCGGATACTGCGTCCAGAAAACCATTAGGTCCAAATTCAAGTTGGGAGAGGTCAAAGAAGCGGGACTGAGCAAATACATGAACAAAGGCCTCCCTCTACCGATCAACACATTTGCCGGCATCATCACCTGACGTGGTGGAGTAAACCCCCGCAGATGAAACTTGAGAATTAACACCATCAGCGCTGTGCTTTGATCGCGGGAATGGCTGTAAGGCCAGTCTGACACATGAAGAGACGAAAGGAAAATCTGGTTTTCTCAAAGTCACCATGTGGCGAGGCAGATTTTAAGTGCTGATGGTAACAGTGACTCTACTTCATAGACACACTACCTTTTACTGCCTTCTTCACACACACACACACACACACACACACAATACACACGAAGGAATGCAGACCAGTCCGGTCTGTCAGCGACTAAAACGCTCCGATAGATGAAAGACTGTTACGATGACAGCTGACAGTTAACTGTTGCCTTCGTCTTTGCTGAATCCCTCAAAAATACACTTGCCATTCCCGCACCTGTTGCGTAATGCAAGCACGTCATGAAGTTGTTTGGAAACGCTCTGGAAAGCTTCAAGAACCACACTATGAAGTCAGAGCCACGTGACAGGAAACGCCGCAGAACAGAAGAAGCAGCTTTTGTGTGTTACTGTATCTGACGGACAGCCTGATGTGCATAAAGAATGTTAGTCTTGAGAGTCACCGTCTACTGGCCAGACGTGCAGGATTCTGTGTTCCATGCTTGATTATTATACAAGACAAAGAGCTAAACTTGCGCACATGCCAGTAATTATCTCAAATGCATCATCAGCCTTGAGGTGGGAGAATCACCTCTGACCTCCATCCACTCACTGCCGTTTTGTTCGATGATGCATAAATGTCCTCAACTGAATGTATTTGCACTCATTTTTTATTGTTATTTGTGAAGCTGAAGTGTGTAAAGCATGTAATATGACTACATGCGTTATTACGTCATTACGTAAATATGAAAAAGATAAAGATAATTGCTTTTGCCACAGAGTTATTAGATTAAATAGCCAAGAATGGCTAACAAGCTCATTTTTTATGCCCCCCCCCTCCCCGGGTAGGATCTCATGCAAAGGTCAACCGCCTCATGAACTGGATGTGATGTACTGCACAACATAAAATCGTGTTGGTGTGTGTGTGTGTGTGTGTGTGTGTGTGTGTGTGTGTGTGTGTGCTAGCCAGGCAGGGTAAAAATTATGAGTTTGAAATTCATGATACATTTTGCACATTATGCTTCATCTAATCATCCATATATATTGGACCCCATTAAAATCTAAATGTAATTGTGTAAATACATGGTTTTGTTTTGTAAAACAGTGTTGTGTTTTATAATAAATGTGGTACATCTCAGTACCTTTTGTTTGAATGAACAGCGACTTCTGAACTGATTGAAAAGAGGAAGTGGATCTGAATAGTTTTGACGAGCTGTGGAGCGAACTTTCCCACGCCGGCGGTGCGTCCAGCGGCCACCAGATGGTGCTATTGAGCTACTATCTACCCAGCTTGAGCACAGGTTAACATGAGGACAGTCCCGTGTGCTGCACGCACACCGACCGACACCTGCCAACAGCTGGTGAGCGACCGCTGGAGCATCTCGCGCGTTTTCCGCCTCCACAAGTTGGTGTCTGACTCAATGAAACGCAGCAACGAACCGCGACCGTAAGACCCTCCCCTGTAGTTTCCCCCTCGCCGTTTCCCGGTGACGCTCTGCAACTGGAAGCGTAGAGAGAACGGAGGAGAAGAAAAGGAGAAGCTGCAGGACCGATGGAGAAGAAGCCGGGATCTTCTTATCAGTACGGTTCACTGGAGCGCACTGAATGGAGCAGAGACAGCAACAAACCAGGTATACACACATATACATGTATGTATGTGTGTGTGTATGTATGTATATATATATATATATATATATATATATACAGGTGTTTATGCTTCTCGTGTGTGTGTTATTTGTGTAAGAGAAAAGTGAGGGCCCATTACTCGGGGACCTGCACCCTCAGATGATGAATAATGACCCTCATTGGGGACTTGGCTGGACGTTCAATAGACTATAAGGTCAGACGTCACTGAAACTTTTTATCGCAGTGTCACAGTATTCATGTTTTCTCGAAAGCCTGCAGCTAATATGTGGTTTGATTCTTGATAAGGCATCATTTTTTAAATGATTTGTTTGGTAAATCAATTTCCCAGCCCAAGGTGATTTTCTTCGGATGTCCTTTTTGTTCGACCAATAGTCCAAAACCCCAAAGAAATCTCCACCAGGAAGGCTGGAATCAGACAATGTCTTTTGGTTTCAGTTCTATTCCTCTACATCGCTGATTTATATATTATATTATTTACATTCATGATGCTCACGATAGCGTCATGTTGTCAGGGCTTTTTGGTCATACTGACGCACCATTCATGAAGGTAAGTCGGGAAGTTCTCCCCCCCCCACACACACCTCTGGTCCACTACGTCCTCATCAGCCCTCCTCCTCTTTCCTCCACTGTTGCCTCTTGGTCTCTAATCTGGCTGATCTGTCTGTCAGTAGGGTGTCGGGTGTAAGGCAATTTGTGGCAGTGTAAAATGAAAAAAAAGAAAAAGACGGTTGGAGTTGGAGCAAAGCCTGTAAACTGAGCTCATGATTCACATCTTCAGGGGTTTGGATAAAGAGAGGGTGCAGGGTTTCGAGAGGTATTGGGTGAAATGAGGAGAAGCAAAGGGACATGAGAACTGTGAGAGAGGCAGTGAAAAAAGTGCAAAGGAGGTCTAGGGATGAGTCATAACTGCTCAGTGGCAGAATAACCTGTCCTAGAGAGCCTCTGCAGCAGAACATGTTGTCTCTGACGACGTAAGAATGAACAACGCTTATGACATCATGTGGCACATTTTTCACATTTAGTCAGTGAGGCTTCTATGTCTTGTTTGGCAGTGCGATATTGCGTCTCTGCATCATCTATAATGTACAGAGTGTGCAGCGTGAATACACAGTGGTCAATGTCAGATGAGAATACAAAGAACAAGTGTGTGTCTCCGTTTCTCACTCTCATGTACGCACAAAGTGAACTACAGCCAAAGACCAATTACTGTATGTGCTCATGAAATGTGCACACTCTCCTGCATTTCGTACATGTAGAATTATGACAAACACGCGTGCCGCCGCTGTGACAGCTAAAGCCTCTGTGACAATGTCCTGCATCGGACAATTCAATTACTGCAAAGCAATGCAGCAATTATTTTATTTGTCACACCTGTGCTTGACAGGTAAGAATGTATGCTTGGAAAAAAACTTCTATTTTGCTATTTCGTTTGTCAAGTTCATTCGTCTCAGTAAGCAGCTTACTGTCTTACGATTAAAGATCAGGTGAGATAAAGTAAAACTATTTGGTAAGTGCAATACAAACGATTGGAAATACAATATGGCCAACAGTAACAACAGCATCGTGATTAAATGGTTTGTTTGAGTTTTCGGGAAATAGCCTTTTTGCTTTATTGCCTTAATTTTAAGGCCACCCTGGAGGGTACATCATCACTTTTTCTCTACTGGAAGGGAACCTTAGAGGGCACTTCATCACATGTATTGTACTTGAAGGACCCCCTAGAAGGCACTTCATGACGTTTTCTGGAGTGGAAGGGCAACCTAAGGCACTTCATCACATTTTCTCCACTAAGGGAACTCTAGAGGGTACTTCACCAGGCTTTCTTTACTGGACGGGCACCCTAGAATGCACTTCATCACATTTTCTCTACCGGAAGGGCACCTTAGAGGGCACTTCATCCCATCTAATGTACTTGAAGGACACCTTAATGGGAACTTCATCGGGTTTTTTCCATTTCAAGGCACCCAAGGGGGAACTTTTGGAGCATTTTCTTCTTTATGCTAAGCTAAGGTGAATTGCCTTTTGGCAAAGCGCCATTGTCAAAGAACAGACATGAGTGTTTTTGATCTTCTCATGGTACATTATCTCTCTGCAGTAAAGTAAATAAATATTTCTTTAAAATTTGAAAAAAGCCACAAAATGCTTATTTATGACACCAAAAAAAAAAAGTGACTCAAATTTTAGTTTTCTTATCTTTTAGCGAGAAACACATTTTCACATAATATCCTTATAAATCAGGTTGCTACTTTATAAAGCAATGCCTTCTAATTAACTGTAAATACCACAATGACATACCAGAAGTTGTGTAGATAGTTCCATGTATGTCTTATTACCGTTTTAATCTCTTTCACAGTTCAAAACCTGCTGCCACACTTTACTCAGCGCTTCCTCCACTGAGAAGTCAAGGTTGTGTTGACGCCACGCTGACGTCAGCCACATTTGTCATAGTAACCGAGTACAGAGTGTCTGTGTGAAGATGTGTGTCCGTACTTCAGGAACACTTTTTCCTTCTGTCACACGAAGCAGACTGCAGTTGTGTGCCCCCAAAACAAAGCTTTAATGCCAGCAGGGATACGGGTCCATGTAAACCGGCAATGATCAGCAAGCGTGGTTAATGCTTTCCATGGTGCTTTTACTGTTAACCTGAAGTCATACAAACCCAGTCTGAATTATTATGATCGGCTTTCATTCTGCTTTCTTCCGTGCTAGTGCAGAGGACGTTTCTTCACAGCACTTTGAACCCAGTGAGAGCTGCCTTCCCCAAGGCTAAATGTGACTGGAATAGAAATATTACTAGAGCTCTACTTAGTGATGGTGTGTGTCTGTTTGTATATAAAAAAGGATTTAAGGGCCCCAGGAGTAGTCAGGAGGGGCTGTCTGTCAGCGGTGGTATTGGTATCACCCTGATTATGTTCGTCTTGGCCCCCATGTTGTGCAGCTCTCTACAGGGAGGTGACAGTTATCCAGGGCCGTCACAGTGCTAATTGGATCAATTCAAGAGCAGGAATCGGTGATTTTCTTCAACATTAAAGTCGCGACTGCCACTACGTCTACCTTCAAGAAGGTCAACCCTACTTGGATCTCAGGGTAAATTTAATTGAATTACAGTTAAAAGGATAATCAGAGCGTGGTGTGTGGAGTGACACGTTGAAACAGAGCATTGTGTTTGACGTCAAACCATCAAGGCATCCTCTGTGCACAGTATATGATTATTTAAAAAGCTTTAATGACTTTTCAGTCCGCTTGAAACAGCTATTAGCTTCAATACATTTATTCTTAAGATGTTTAATGCACCTGCCAAGCCCATGCTGTGTATATCATAAAGATGCCCACCCACAGAAGAAGATAAATCTTGCCCGATACAACTTGGAATTACAACTTGAAGTACCGTTTCATTGCGCTTTTCTGTGTTGGGGGGGTGTATTTTTTGTACAATGGATTGCAGCACATATTTGCGCCCCTGTATCTCTCAACAGCAGCCAAAGGCAGTGTAGACAGGACTGCAGTGTGTGTGTCCTGGAGGAGGAGGCTTATTTCCTGTGCTGACCCCACTGGGTTTCTACAGCTAATTAGTGTGTGTGTGTGTGTGTGTGAAAGAGAGAGAGAGAGACTGAGAGGCATGCATGCCATGCCAACCACTAACACATGGTAATTTGACTATGATGCTCTGCTCTTCATCAAGCATCAATTTCAGAGTACATCTGCTGCATCTGTTTATTCAGTTTAAAATGAATATTCATGTACAGTTGTTGTTCTGCGGTGCCAAATTTGTTATTGGAACTTGGATCATTACAGTGTGTATGTGTCCACCTATCTCTGGGTAGTATTTGTCACTGTAACCTCCCTTTTTAATAAAGAAAAGAATCAACATGCACTTTAATGTCTTAGCATCGGACATGTTGCAAATTTGTCCAAGGCTCTCGCAACTTTCGGCAAGAATAAAAGCTGTCGTTCTCTTTCTCTGTCTCTCTCCCTCAGAGGACGACGTGGTGTCCATGGCGGACTCCACCATCACCACGGACGACATTGAGGGGGAGCTTTTCAAGATAGACAGGATCAGGGACGTCCTGGTCCGGAGGGAGTCAGAGCTCAGATACATGTGAGTGGCTCATCGGTACCTTGCCTTTTTATTTGGTGTCGTGGCTGCCACCTGCAGCCGGTGTGATTACCGCCGACGAAACAGGTTCAATAATAGCAAACCAGAGTCTGGATTTTACAGTAGAATGGTGAAAGCATTATTATGTTTAATGCTGGTCTGAGTTGCAAGAAAGTAGGGTGTACATGTGTGGCTGACTTTCACTTGCACCCCTTCACACACCTGGTTTGTCTAATAATCATGATCCTTCCATAACCTTAACCAACTGCCTCACCACACCTTAATAATCATTCATTTAGCGATGGGGTTGTTTAGGACAGCTCAAGCTCAGCTCTACATTATCCTGGCACAGCTTTCTACCAGTTTAAGCCGTACCAAGTCTTAGTTAGTTCGTGTTGGACCAACATATTGACATCCATCCCTGAGAAGGTGATTTGCTGAATGGCAGGGTGGCATCAATTAAAGGTCAAATTTTTGTAAATTGTTTAGATGCATCAGGCGTGTGGGACAACACATGTAGCTACTGGTGTCAAACCGGAACAAACGAACGATTCAGTTAATGAATCAGTCACAAAAGTTCACAAGCTAGTGTAGTGAACAAGCTAGCGCCTCAGAGGAGAATTGCGTCCATTTCCAGGCTTTTTCCCACTAAACGCAGTTCAAATCACGCTTCCATTTAGGAGCACGCCTTGGTATCAGAAACACAGGTCCTCGCAGCGTTGCCCTCTATTCTCTCTCCTCATTCCTCTCCATCACACCCCGAGCTGGCCCCCATTACAATTTCAATGGCTCTACCTTTGCTGCCGCTAAGCAGGCTAATGTATGGATATTTATTCATCCACTCTGAAAGATAGGCAGTAACGCCGCTCAGACAGCGGGGGGAATGTGAGGAGTGGCGTGTGTGGGGTAGCAAGCGAGAAACAAGCTGATAAAATGGGAGAATGAGAGACTGGAGGAGGAGGAGGAGGTGGTGGAGAGGAGGTGGAGGGAGATGGAGAGTCACTATTTGAAGCACCTAATTCCCCGCAGTAAACAAACAAACTATAACTTGTTGTTTCCTCTGGTACGTTAAGTAAAGCCTATCATTAGTATTCCAGGCCTCGTGGCCATTTCTCCGCCGTCTGTGCAGAGCATCTTACATGAGAGGTAGATGAGGCATGGTGGCGAGGCTCTCATTCTGCTGACGTTGATGAATGTGTGCAATGTGCGTGAGTGTTCGTCTGACCCTGCGAGTGCCTGTGTGCTTCTAAAAGAGACTCCGTAGCTGCGAAGCTGGGTGACGTGAGGGCCTCTAATTCCGTCAGAGGAGAAAGGGAATGAGGGTCCTCCACCCCTCCGCCTCAGTCAGTGATGGTCCACTGAGTTGGAGGGGCCATTGTCAGAATGAGTGAAAGCTATCTGGCTCTGAGACGCCGCAGGGATTTTCTCCTCAGAAAAGATTGTTTCATCTCCTGTGTGAAAATATAAGATCAATATGAAGCTATCACTGTTTGAATTTTGCCCTTAACCGTAGAGACCAGATTCCACTCATCCCCACCCTTTAAAGTTGAGCGTGCACTGATTTGCAGCATGTGCGGTACGTATACACGAGTGTTTGAGTGTTTCTTCTGTTCCATCATGCCTGCGAAGGATGGATGACATTCAGCTGTGCAAGGAGATCACTCGTCTGAAGAAGGAGCTGCAGAAATTAGTGTCCATACCAGGTAGGAGTCCTCAGGCCAGCTGTTTTGTATTTGCAGTAGAGTATAGGTAATCTGTGACTCAGATGTCTTGTGCTGCAGATAATGACAAGTCCAACGAGGACCGGCAGAAGGAAGAAGAACTCCTGCAGCAGATCCACAAGCTGGTCGAGACCAGAGATTTCCTGGTGGACGATGTGGAGTTTGAGAGACTCAGGTGTGCTTCTGCCTCTAGGGTGTCATTACAGCTCGGTAGGACACCTGTGGTAGGCTGTGAATGAACAATTAAAGAAGGGAAAAAGGGGATCCTACTGCACACCAGATAGAGATGCAGTGCACATATAGTGCAGCCTCCCAGAAAAGGCATTCGGGAATTCTTTGCCCGAGTTTGACACATACTTTTCATTCAGGGGAGCACCGATCTTTGATCACGCCAATTCATGAGCACCGTTCATTAACCTGCTTACAATGACTGAGAGGGCTCGCAGCCGCCTGCTGGTGAAGTTGTACCTCAGTTCGGTGTCATTTGTATGCACGCTTCACAAAAAGCCGCTTTATTAAAACACTGGAGCATCTCCTCGGGCACAGCGTTGTGAGAGGGTGCGCCGCAGAGCGCACCGCAGAGAGCCATTTCAATTAAAGATCTGTCAGCGTGCGTCAGTGAGTATCCAGAGGAGGGGAAAAAAACTCTATTTCTGCATTTTTCAGGTGCACCAAGCCTCTTACATCCGCTGCTGGCTGTTATTTGCAGGAGATGAAGGGAAGCTGTCTGAATCCTGTCCAATCCTTTCAGATCTATTCTGACACTCCTTCACCACACATGTTAGACAAAACACCACAGGATGCTTTACACAATATTTAGAGGCAGGTCGTATTTTCGTACATATGTGATGAGGGCATATTGTATGTGGAATCAATCCTGTCCTGTTTTCAGTCCTGCGCTGGTAAAAAAATGTAAACCAATCAAGTTGCCTTAACCTAACGTGACTCGACAGTGGACAACAAGTATGTTTTTAGCTTTAATCTTATATCTCAGACAGTAAAAGGCATCGCTGGTTTGTGTGAGAAACACTTTGTGTTAGCAGCTGACAGCACGCTGTGAAAACACTGAGGGGCTGCTGGGAAGGTGAGAGGCAGAACACAAGAGACCAACAGTGAACTGTGAACCCGCTCAAAGCCATGTTGTCCATGCTGATAAATATAGAAATCTTTCTATTGTTATTTATCTCTTTTTTTTTTTTTACCCTGACTGTCCTTCACAAGAAAATCCTATCTGCAGTTTTTATGTTGTACTCCAATTTTTATATTTCTTTATAGGACAGAACATACCGGGTATCAATATAAATCTGCTTCATATACATTTAGTAGTATAGAACATCACTAGACACTTCAAACACCCAAATACTCAAATATGCAGAGTATGTTTATCCAATATAGAAAAGTCTCTGTGTAGACAAAGAGTGGTTGCCAGTTTTATTGAGTTTATCAGCGGAGCCTCTCAGACTAAATCCAATCTTCTCTAATAGCCAGAACTATATTAGGCTTCTTATACAGTGTGACCTTCTCTGAAATGTTAATCCACTACTTGTGGGACAGATGGCCAGCAAGTGTAACTTGACTTTTGCATCTGTATAACAAGGGATTCCTATACATTTCTCTTTTGTGATCTGAGGGAAGACTTTACATTGTAGTCCGTGTGCTTTATCTATTCATGCTTTTACGTTTTTCTTTTTTTTACATCAATCTTTCTCAATTTCCACAGGGAGAAAGAAGAAGATAAAGAAATGGCAGATTTTCTGAAGTCCAAATTCCCAAGAAATATGAAGAAGAAAGGTATTTGAGCATCAAACATCAAAGTATCAACAAGTAAAAGTACATTTTTGGGGAACTGAGGAGTGAAATAAGCATGGCCAAATATTTCCCTTGTTCCAAATGTTTTGCTTGTTCAAGGTGTTTCCCTCCTGAGGACTTTGAGGGATGAAGCTTCACGCGTCCACTGACTGATTCAGCATGAATTAGAAATGCTAGACCTACCTGTGCTGTTTCTGTTAGTAGAAGACTATTCCATCTTTTCCTCACAGTATATGTTCTCTGGGCTCCAGGTGTACCAACCAGACGGGCGCCATCCAGGGCTCAGCAGGCCTCCGCTCCCTTCGCCAAGACGGGCCTCACCCTGCTGAAGGAGTGCTGTGGCTTCACATGCTCCGTCATGTAGACTGGGGCCCCTCGCTGCATGGGGCTGACACAGGGGCCACAACCCCAAAATGTTTTCGAGTTTCAGCTTTTCAGTCCGAGTAAGACTTTGAAGCGTGGATGGAGCGGTGCAGGCGCATGTTGAGAGTTTCCCAGAGGGAGAGCAAAGGAAGTCGCAAACATCATATGCTGAGTGTTTCCATGCCATCTTGTGTTGGATCTGTTTGTCTCTTTCATTGGATTTCATAACCCGGCTCTCCGCGTCTCCCATCCCACTCCTGTTTTTTTTTTTTACTCTCATTAAGGAACAACCCGACGACCTGCTATTTATTTCGGTTTTTCATGCCGAGAGGACAGGGTTTGAAGGACAGAAACAGTACCAAGTGAGGCATGTATTGTGTGCACACTAATTGGAATCAACTACCGTGACACCTATGAGTTTGATATTTAAAGACCCCACTGAGCTATGATAACTGTAATCTCCTAATTCAAAAAACAAATAGATGTTTTACAGGAGTCAGCAGGCCAGTCCAGACACACTGCTGGCACTTATCAACACTAATGAAACTGGCATTAATCAGGAGCTCTGTTAGGAGGAAGTCGCCTGTGATTTGACTGCAGATCTAAATGGCTACAACCTTTTGAAGAGTGGTGGTTTGCGAGAACGGATGTCTCATTACGCTCCATTTTCCTTTAATGATAATCAATTTTCCAGTTATTGAAAATGTCCTGGAACATCTTCTGTTGTCCTGGAAAAATATTTCAGCATTCTCCTCTTTTCCTTTAGCTAAAGATTAGCTATGAAACTATCAATCAGAGATCCCCAAAACGCATAAACGTTGGCATGTAAAAGAGCTAAGTTATGTTCAGAAATTATATTAACGTTCAAATGGTAGTTTATGGAACGTCCCCCGCAGGTCACCTCACATGGTAGCACATGCAAGTTGGATGACTTTACATAACGTGGCTTTCTTCCCAACTTGTTTTAAACAGTTGAATAATGTTAAATTGGTTAGCATGTCGCTAAAGGCGACATGCTTGCTACCTTGTTGTGCCAGGTGTGTGTTTGCATTATTCTAGGATTCATTTGTCATAATTTCTAACCAGTGTAAGATAAGACTTCATAGATAATTAGTTAGTCACAGTCAAAATCTGCACGTCTTTTAAATCAGACTTCTACACAGAGATAGAGATACGTTTATGGATCCCAGCTAGATCATAACGGAAAATGCCCTGAAAAACTGATCTCTAGCAAAGTGCTGGAACTCTAACTATTAATATGGCTTGTAATAACAATTCAGCCAACTTCCACCATGCATAAACATTGTATATTTGTTAGCACCCCACATTGTATCAGTTATGGCCTGAATGGCCTGAATATTTAGGTGCATGTAAGGCTCCCGAATGGCCTGTGGCACATCCATCCATTACGTCGGGCACTGGGTTGTTGTGGCCAATCAAACTACGGAGCACCTCTGTGTTGCCAAGAAGAATGGTCGCCATAGCAACCTTGTACATCCCATATCTTTACGATGAGACAATGAAGACGTTTGGATGGATGAGACCTCATAGATGTGACAAAAACAAATACTCGAGCACTAACTATCAGGGTTACCTTATGAAAGGCAAACAGGAGACGATGTAACGTTGCTGTTGTTTTCATGCTTTGGATTCACTCTGGGGACATCACAGCCCACTTTGGATTGCAACAAAATGTACCATAATTGAGCCTCTGAATCCCTTTCGCAGCTTTGCCTGCCCAGTATTTACAGAAGATGCAAACTGAAAGTATTTTTTAATCTTTTAAATCATAATAGATTGTATATTTCTCAGTGAATCTTTGTTTCTCATCCCTGTTTTAACAGAGCGTTCGCTTTAATGGTTTATTCCAAACCTGTCCTGAGGATGGATACAGCTGTCTCTTCTGGTAAATCACTAGATCTATTGATATTCAGTCTGAAAACTGCCATAGAGGCTTTGGGTCACATATCACCCGGCAACCATGTCTGGTGCTGTCATGATGGGTCACAGGGGAATTAGATGTGTGCCAATACTGTTGAAATGACAGCCGCGCGAGAAAAAAAACAAAAACTACCAGGGAAGGATTTCTTCTGCATGTGTGTGTGTGTGTGAGTAATATGTGGGAGGAGGTGGACACCCAATGGGGATATTTGTCTCAAATGTTAAGTATTAGACAGTGTAAACCATTGTGCCAAAGCAGAACTTTTTAAAAAAGAGACAGCAATGCTTAGTTAAACAGGCACACAAAACATCTTTGATGCACAATATCTAATCATCTGAGGTACAAACACATTCTCCCCCCAATTTGTCATATACCCCGACTTGGTCAGTGCTCTTTAAGCTTCAAACTCTGAGGTTCCCTTTTCAAGTCTGCTCCCACGGTTGAGCTGCACAATGCATACATCTGTGAAAACCTTCACGTAATCAGTCATTATTTCTGTTGTGTGCGACATGTTTCTGTTCTTCGTTGTTCACATTTAGACATAAAACCAGCTGTTGACACCAGCTGCAGGGCGAGTTAACATCTCATAACTCTGCTTGGCACGAGTCAAGCGAGGATTCGTGAATTTTTATTTTGAGGAGAGAGAGAGTGTGTGTGTGTGTGTGGGGGAGGAGGGCACAAGGTT